TGATGGATCGGGAGGAACAGGAACCAAAACAACTTCTGGAACCGGAGGATCAGATTCAGCTACCACTACTGTACCATCTGGTTCTGGATCAGTATCAACCACAGTTGGAGGCTCTGGATCTGGATCTACCAGTGATCGAGGATCTGGTGGATCTACATCGCCAGGTTCTGGAGGTGAAACCACACAATCTGACGGCACACAAGGATCCACCACAGGCGGTCCTGGAACTGGAGGATCAACCACAGACGGAGGAGGATCTGATTCCGATTCAACCGCATACACTGGACTAAGTACAACCACTCAAGGATCTACAAAAACGACAAGAAAACGAGGATCACTTCCAACACTGACACCGATTTCGGCGGCTGATCAAGCAGTGATTGACGCTCAGAAAGCAGATGTTATGATCCAATTGGCTGGAATCATGGCTGGAGCATCATCAGGAAGCTCCTTGAACTCCAGCAGCTCACTTCTGAATCAAATCTCAAGTCTACCAGCGTCAGATCTAGTGGAAGTTGCTCAAAGTCTTTTGTCCAATACTCTGAAAATCCCGGGTGTTGGAAACATGACCAGTGTGGAAGTTCTTCAAACGTTGCAAAACAACATTGCCACCACAAACTCTGAATTGGCAGCAGAAATGAATAAAGTGATCACCCAGTTGGCTAATGTGAATATGACATCCCCTCAATCCATGAATTCGGTGTTGTCTTCTTTGGATTTGGCACTGAAAGGAAGTACAGTATACACGTTGGGAGCGTCGAGTACAAAGTCGACAGATGGAACGTATGCTGTGATTTTTGGATATGTTTTGGCATCTGGTTACACTCTGGTGTCGCCGAGGTGTACTGTAAGTTAGCAGCTCCAAGGGAAAGTTAATTAAGGCTTCTCGGTCGGGAAGTTCAGCCGACCGACCGACCGCCGACTAGCCGAGTTTGTGCATTCGCTTGTCATCATGTCAGTGTTTGCGTACACATCCCTTAATTTCACGACACACCATCATCAAATGCGGTCGGCGCGCCGACCAATCAGTCAGCTGATTTGGCGGTCGCTCGGCTAGAAACTTGATTCTCGTTGATTTCTGCATATGACCTTGTAGAGCAGAAAATTTCTTGTAATTCTGTCAAAAAAAACCAACTTTCTAAACCTTTTAGTAGCTGAGTTACAGCCATTTCAAATTTGGGAGGTTAGAGACGCAGTGTGTCTCGTTGTCTGCGTCTCTAGCTTGCGAAACTTTGAAGGGGTGTATCTCGGTTCCTACAAAGCCTAGAAAGTTAGATTTTTGACAGACCTGTAAGACATTTGTAGCTCTATATTCCCCAGAGATGGTCGGCAGTCGTTCGTCAAGGTCTGCGGTCGGGCACCGGTCGCCGATTTTCGACAAATGGAAGCCTCAAACTTAACGCGAGAACTGAGAATTTCAGCTGAGCATTTATGGAACCACAGTTTACCTAACTGGAGACACACGTGCATCCTACAAACAACAAGATGGAGATACTGTCACAGCAACGTCTCTCCTTGCTTCAGCTCTAGGAATTGAAGGATCGTATGCCACGAATGGAAGAACTGTTTCTGTGGATCAGGACAAAATCGAGCAGAAGAGATCACTGGTCTCTGGAAACATTATGGCCACTGTGAATGGAATTGGAGACGTTCAATCTGGAGTGTACACTTATAACGAAATGTATGTGACTGCGTGGAATGTGACTTATGACAATACGACTACTGGATCTACACCCCAGAAGAATACCTCCATGTCTTTCTACATTCCAGTTTCTGATGCTCAATTGACTCTTTTGGTAAGTTGATTTTTATGTGTGTCTGTTCATCCAGATGTCTTTCAGATTGAATCCGGAACTATGATGAAACTTCAGTCTACTCAGAAGGTGGCGGCGAAAGGATTGACTGTAACTACGACGTACGGAGGAGTGACTTATACAGTAACCTGTGGAAATGGAACTGCAAATTTTGTTGAAGTGGATACAGCGGATGCCATATTCTCGTACAACGCTCCAAGTTTTGAAGTGGTTGCTGCAGATGGATCATCAACAGCGAGCATCCAGAAAATGATTCAAATGCCGATTGTAGTGGAAAGTGAGTCATCTGAATATTATAATGGAAAATTTCCTGTAATTCTGAGAAAAAACCAACGTTCTAGGTCATCTAGGACCCGAGATACAGTCATTTGAAGTTCGGGAGGTTAGAGACGCAGTGTGTCTCGTTGTCTGCGTCTCTAGCTTACGAAACTTTGAAAGGGTGTATCTCAGCTTCTAGAAATCCTACAGAGTTAGTTTTTGGACAAATTTTAAGGAAATTTTTAGCTTAATATTCTCCAAAAATATGTACGCAAATGCACGAATTCGCTTGGCTAGTGTCGACTAGAAACTCTTTTCTATTTTGCTGACCTTATAGAGCAGAAAAATTCCCGTCAATCTGTCAAAAAACCAACTTTCAAGGCTTTCTAGGAGCCAAGATACAGTCATTTAGAGTTTGGGAGGTTAGAGACGCAGTGTGTCTCGTTGTCTACGTCTCTAGCTTGCGTAACTTTGAAGAGGTGTATCTCGGCTCCTAGAAGGCCTAGAAAGTTGGTTTTCTGATAGATTTAAAGGAAATTTTTAGCTTTATGCCAGAGAGTGTGATTCACAAAAACCAAAAATAAACAAAATTCCAGATGTGAACTTGAATATCTTCAACAAAACCTCCTCTCCACTTGTCTTCTCAGCCGCCGGACCCTACACCATGCGCCTCGTCTTCTCACCACAAGACATTGATCTTCCAGCTGTCTCTGCTCTCTCCCAAACCGTTTCTATTTCCACCTTATCACCAACTACCACCTACAGTAAGACTGACCTGCAAACTGCGATCTCTTCTCAATCGATGATTTCGGTTTCGGGAACGGTAGGGGTGGCTTTTAGCAAACTTCTCTGATTAATCGATTTTTTAGCTCTTCTTCGCCAAAGCCTCGTCCATCGATGTCACTGGATACACATTTTATGCTGATTCCACTGCGATTTATCTTCAAAACTCGGTGTCGACTGTTGTGATCAGTTCTCCAACTTACAACGTTGTTTCGTTGGCGTTGGGAGGTTACGGTATCCAAATCACAGCTGGAACCTATACATCTGGATCGCAGAGTCATACAGTGTAAGTTAGGATAGCAAGGGGTGAGGATTACTGTAAAAAAAACTTTTCAGATGTTTGACAACATTGTCATCATTTTGGAAAGTATTATATATGATAATTTTTAATATTTTTCAAAAATGTTTTTTCCGGAGAACACAAAGCCGGGAATTACCTTCAAAGCTGTCCAAAAACTAACTCTCTAGGAGTTTTAGAAGCTGAGATATACCCCTTCAAAGTTTCGCAAGCTAGATACGCAGACGACGAGACACACTGCGTCTCTAACTTCCCAGACTTCAAATGACTGTATCTCGGCTCCTAGAAGGCCTAGGACGTTGGTTTTTCGACAGAATTACAGGAAATGTTTTGCTCTACACGATATTCTGGAGCGTATTTTGAACTTTCAGAACTATGATGGAATTCTCAGACACCCAAAAAATGCGGATCGATGGTGGACTGATCATCAGAAACGGAACAAATGGATATGTCATCCAGAATGGACAGATCACAACAGAAGGAGATGTTTCTGGAACTCAAATCGACATTGTCCCTCAGAGTTTGATGAACCAAGAATCTCAGGAGCAGATTGCTCAGATTCTTAGTAACACTCAGGATTATCTTGAGAACAATGGAATGACAATGACAGAGGCTGAGATTAATGATGTAGGGTTTTTCAAATTTTCAAATTTTCAGTTCAATTATTTCTGACTTTCAGACATCCAACTCCCTTCTTTCTATTGCCAGCTCTCTCACATCGGCTCTAAAAGTTGCTCTTGACAATCCACTATCTTCTGATTTTGCTGCCAATCTCAAATACGCTACTGACAACTATGATGACCTGTATAATGTGCTCCCTAGTGATCCGGATAATATTGTGTATGTGGAAGAGATGACGCAAGAAGAATGGGCGGCCTATGTGACAAAGATGATTCAGAAGAATATTGCAAAGAACCTGGCTACACAGTTGGCATCCACTCTTGACACCCTGGAAAATACCTTGGCAGCTAGAGCGATCGCTGAAGGAAATTTGCCCTATGATTATTCGGTGAGCTTCTGGCATCCATAGCTCAGCGAACTCCAAAATTTCAGAACTACGTGGACGGTACTGGAATGGTTATTGTGATTGATGATGCTTCGAATATTGTGGGAAAGACGCAAACTTGTTCTGAATGGGCTATGACACTTCCGTCACCGGCTTCCTCGTTGAACAATGCGGAGATTCAGGACTCGACGTTGATTCAGGTTGGAATGGTTTGCTATAACACGAATCCAAGGACATATGTGGATAATTTTGATATGTTGGTGACATCTGGAGCATTGGAAGCGCATATCAAGGATGAGTACCAGAATCAGTTGAAGTGAGTTAGATTGGGAATGAGGATCACAACTATTCTTTTTTGCATATGACCTTGCTGAGCAGAAAATTTCCTGGAAATCGGTCAAAAAACCAGCTTCTATGCCTTTCAGGAGCCGAGATACAGTCATTTGAAGTTTGGGAAGTTAGATACGCAGTGTGTCTCGTTGCTTGCGTCTTCAGCTTGCCAACCTTCGAGTCACTATACCTCTGCTTCTAGATGAGCTAGAGCCATGAAGATTGAACATAAAAGTGCGAAATTTTATGGAGCACTTTTTGTCTTCACAAAAATTGGAAATTCAACGATCAATATGTTTCTAGAATTCTGATTTTTGGGTTTAAAAAATGAATTCCAAAAATATCAAAGTCTAGCTTCATTTTCGTTTTAAAAACCAACTTTCTAGACCTTATAGAAACCGAGTTACAGTCATTTAAAGTTTGGGGGGTTAGGGACGCAGCGTGTCTCGTTGCCTGCGTCTCTAGCTTGCGAAACTTTAAAGGAGTGTATCTCAGCTTCTAAAAATCCTAGAAAGTTGGTTTTTGAAGAGATTTTATGGTAATTGTTAGCTTCATATTCGCCAGAGAGACCGTTTGGTTTTTAGAATCATCAACTCCACCTCTCCAATTCTTGTCAACGGACGTGGAAGTTCTGACGACGCCGTTCTAACTTTGATGCAACAAGGAGACTTTGTCAGCTACCAAATCCTCGACCTCCACGCTTTCCAAACCACCAACTGGAACAATTCCCTTCAACTCGAACTCATTGCCTCTCAAGATTATGTGATCCCCAATAATGATGATACCTACCTGTTTTCTGCTTTCCAACATCTACCTGGACCAATGTATACGAACTATGAATGGATGTTTGAACTGAACTCTCTGAATACAACCAGCAACTATTTTATAACCGCTGGGAATTTGATAAATCAAACTGGATTGTTCTATGTGGGAATTGGAAAACGAAATGAGACAACTAGAACCAATGAGAATAGCACGGATATTGTAAACTATGGAATGTTCGATAATAAGCAATGGTCGTTTGCCAGAGAGGTTCCAATGGATTATCAAATCACTGCAATCAGCAAAGGATGCTATTTCTATCTCAATGAAACTGATTTGTTCAATTCTGCTGGAATGTGGCCGTTGGATGGAAAAGGAATGCAATTTGTGAACTGCTCCACAGACCACTTGACATTATTCTCTGTGGGATCCTTCAACCCAACCATCGATGCAGATTTCCACTACAAATACGTTGTTAATGAGATTGAGAAGAACGTCAAAGTCATGATCACCGCGATTTTCCTATTCATTGTTTACGGATGCCTCACGCTCAATTCAATCATCTCTGGAAGGAAAGATGCGTCAAAAGGAAGACTCCGATTCCTATCCGACAATGAGCCACATGATGGATACATGTATGTGATTGCCGTGGAGACTGGATACAGGATGTTTGCGTCGACGGATAGTACGATTTGCTTCAATTTGTCTGGAAATGAGGGAGATCAAATTTTCCGATCGTTCAAATCGGTGGAAGATGGCGATTGGGAGTATCCCTTCTCATGGGGAACTACTGATCGATTTGTAATGACTACTGCCTTGTGAGTTTGCAATTCTCAAAAAATTTAACCGGCCGACCAACCGCCGACCCGACCGACCGATAGTCGACCGAATTCGGACATTTGCGTACGCAGCATTTAAGTTCAAAAAATATGAAAATGCGTAGTGCGTCGTAAAATAAAATACTGTGTACCAAAACACTCTCAAATGGACGCGCAAATGCACGAATTCGGTTGACTAGAAACGATTTTTTTACGATTTTTTTTATTTTTGCATATGACCTTGTAGAGCAGAAAATTTCCTAAAATTCTGTCAAACAATCAACTTTCTAGGCCTTCTAGGAGCCAAGATACAGTCATTTGAAGTTTGTGAGGTCAGAGACGCAGTGTGTCTCGTTGTCTGCGTCTCTAGCTCGCCAACTTTAAAATCGCTACACCTCGGCTCCTAGATGAGCTAGAACCATGAAAATTGGACAGAAAAGTGTGAAATTTCATTTTTCTCTTTGTGGGAATTCGAAATTTTCGAGATCCATATATTCCTAAAATTCGTCTTTTTTGGGATTTGAAAATAAACGGACTTTTATGAATTCGTAAAATATCAAAGTCTAGTTTTATTTAGCTCTAAAAACCAACTTTCTAACTCATCTAGAAGCCGAGATACAGTGATTTCAAGTTTGAGAGGTTAAAGACGCAGTGTGTCTCGTTGTCTGCGTCTCTAGCTTGCAAAACTTTAAAGGGGGTGTATCTCGGCTTCGAAAAAATCTTAGAAAACTGTTTTTGGGACGGATTTGAAGGAAATTTTCAACTTCATATTCTGCTTTTTTTTTCACCAAACGGAAGCTTTACTAGACACACTAATTGAAAGATATGTGTTTCCAGCCCCCTTGGATCCCTGGAATACATGAGAATCTGGATTGACGACGCCGGACTTGACCATCGAGAGTCGTGGTACTGTAACAGGATCATTGTCAAAGACCTCCAAACCCAAGAGATCTATCATTTCCCATTCAATAATTGGCTCGGAACTAAAAACGGAGATGGAGAAACTGAACGATTGGCCAGAGTGGATAACAAGAGACGATTTTTGGATGAATCAATGAGCATGCACATGTTGGCTCAGACCATTTCTTGGTTTGCAATGTTCACAGGAGGAGGAAATCGGTTGAGAGATCGGGTGACAAGACAAGATTATTCCATCAGTATCATTTTCTCGATTGTGATGATTTGTATTTTGAGTATTGTGATTCTCCGGAACGACGACTCAATTATCAGCGACTCTAAGAGCATCTCAGAATTCACCTTCACCGTAAAAGATATCATTTTTGGAATTGTTTTCGCTCTTCTCATTACCATCATCAACACTTTCCATATCCTTATTTGCGTCAAATCTCGCTCCTACAGTGAACATTATTATCTCAAGAAACGGAAACACGAGGAACCAACATTCAAAGATTCTTCGGGCTCCTGGAGTGTTTTCGTTGCTGGAATAGCTCGTGCGCTTCTCGCTTTCCCGATCCTCATGGGGTTACTGTATGTGGCTGGAGACGGAATGAGTTTGATGGATGACTTTGCCAACGCGTTCTACATTCGATTCTTGATTAGTTTGGTGGTCTGGGCGGTGGTTTTCGAACCAATCAAGGGGATGATCTGGGCGTTCTTCATTTTGAAAACCAGCAAGAGTCATAAGATAACCAACAGGTTGGAAGAGGAGTTTTTGAAAGTGAAGCCAGCAGAAACTTTCCAAAGAAACCCATACGGAAAAATTGAAAAAGAGCTTGGAACTGTGATAGCTGATGTGACCAAACTTCGGGATACAGAGAATCGAAAAATGAGAGATGAGCAATTGTTTATCACGATTCGCGATATGCTATGCTTCTTCGCTTCGCTGTACATCATGGTTATGCTCACGTTTTATTGCAAGGATCGTCATGGGTACTACTATCAGTTGGAGGTAAGGAACCGAGTTTTAGATCCTATTTACCTGAGTATTGGGAAGATGTTATATGTCATTTTATCAGCGACATTAGTAGTATATCTTAACTTAGACCCAATAGTTCAGTGGAGCGCACTTGCAGAAACTTTGAAAATTATTCGTTTTAAAATTGATTCCGACTAAACTGATAGTTCCAGATCAATTACATTTAAAATCAAATGTCTATCTCTAAAACTAAGCGCGTTATAACAAATGTCCACTAGAGCGCACTTACGATTTGAGCTCTTGTCATACAGAGTCGAATCTTAATATATATGTGCATTTTGAGCTCAATTATCTCGGCTCCTATAAGAGACATCAAAAATAAATCAATTGATAAAATATTGCTGGTATTATAATGAATATTTTATCAGTTGACAGATTTTTGATATCTCTCATAGAAGCCGAGATAATTTAGCTCAAAGCGCCGACGTAGTGTGAGCTTCATGAGAGAAAGTGCGGTATTTACGCTCCAGCTCAATTATCTCGGCTCCTACAAAAGATATAAAAAACGTCAACTGATAAATTGTTCCTTATAATATTATCAATATTTTATCAGTTGACAAAATTTTGATACCTCTCGTAGGAACCGAGATAATTGAGTCGAAAGTTCAAGAATATGGTGACCTTCTATTAGAACAAATACGGAATTATTTTAAGCTTGAATTTTTCAGATGAGCACCATCCTGAACATCCCTCAAACCAACTACGGAGACAACACCTTCATGTCGATCCAAAACGCCGACGACTTCTGGGATTGGGCTCGTGATTCTCTGGCCACTGCTCTTCTCGCCTCCTGGTACGACGGAAATCCTGCGTATGGAATGAGAGCTTACCTGAACGATAAGGTATCCAGAAGTATGGGGATAGGAACGGTACGACAAGTGAGAACGAAGAAAAGTGCACAATGTGAAGTGGTGAAACAGTTCAAGGACTACATCAATAATTGTGGAGAGGAGCTGACGGAAGAGTGAGATTTTTGTGTTATTTTCAATCGGATTGATAGAAACGGGTATATCTTTAGACATAAAAATTGGTAGAAATATAATTTTACATTCGATTCAAAGCTAGAAAAAGCTTTCAAAGCGATACCTCAAGTCTAGGTGTTGTTATGATTGTCCAAAGAGCAACTTTGACAAGCACTGACTTTGACAACTCACAGTTCAAATTTGAGCCCGGTACAAAGATTTACTCAATATATATGCTAGTTCAAACGTTTCAGCAACGAAGAAACGACACTGTACATGCAACCTGGTTGGACCGTACTGGAAACAGAGAATGGAACAGATGCAACCGATGAATACACTTACAAAACTGCCAAAGAACTTTCGACGAGCTCGGTTTCCGGATTTCTTGGAAGCTATGAAGGAGGAGGATACACAGTGAGCATGTCTGGAACCCAAGCGGATATCATCGCTCTGTTTAACAAGCTAGACAAAGAAAGATGGATCGATGATAGTACTCGAGCAGTGATCATTGAATTCTCCGCCTATAACGCACAGATCAATTACTTCTCGGTGGTCCAGCTACTTGTTGAAATCCCAAAATCTGAAATTTATCTTCCGAACAGTTGGGTCGAGTCCGTGAGGCTTATCAAATCGGAAGGATCAGATGGAACTGTTGTGAAGTACTATGAGATGTTGTATATCTTCTTCTCGGTTTTGATATTTGCCAAAGAGGTGTTGTGTTACATCTATGGAAGATACAAGGTTATAACCACAATGAAGCGAACGTTGAATCCATTCAAGATAGTTTATAAGTTGGTGTTGGGGTGAGTTTTGCAGCTGCACAGTCGGTCGGCTGTCGATTGGCTAGAAATTTAATGCTTTTTGATTTTTGCAACTTTTTTGAACTTGTAGAGCAGAAAATTTCCTGTAATTATGTCAAGAAACCAACTTTCCAGGCCTTCTAGGAGCCGAGTTACAGTCATTCGAAGTTTGGGAAATTAGAGACGCAGTGTGTCTCGTTGTCTGCGTCTCTAGCTTGCGAAACTTTGAAGGCGTGTATATCAGATTCTAAAAATCCTAGAAAGTTGGTTTTTAAACAGATTTGGAGAAAATTTGTTGCTTTATATTCTCCAAAGATATTTTTTACAACATCATTTCCAGCGAATTCTCTCCCTGGAACTTCATGGATCTTGTCGTTGGAGCTCTTGCGGTGGCTTCAGTATTCGCTTACACAATCCGTCAAAAGTATACCAATCAAGCGATGGAGGACTTCAATGCCAAAAACGGCAACGCCTACATCAACCTGACGATTCAACGAAATTGGGAGATCATATTTAGCTATTGTCTTGCTGGAGCAGTATTTTTCACCTCTTGCAAAATGATCAGAATCCTGAGATTCAATCGAAGAATCGGAGTTTTGGCGGCAACGTTGGACAATGCTTTGGGAGCGATTGTATCCTTTGGAGTCGCATTTTTGTTCTTCTGCATGACATTCAATGGTGTTCTTTATGTCGTTCTGGGGAACAAAATGGGAGGGTGAGTATCTTTTACTCGTGGAATAATTCTAATTAGGGCTTCTATTCGGTCGGGAAGTTTAGCAGACCGAACGAAAAAACGCACGAGTACAGTCCGCGCGCCGACCGATCGGTCAGCTCGGACGGCTGTCAGACAGCTTTCGGTAGATTCTTTCAGATTTTTGCATATGACCTTGTAGCGCAGGAAATTTTCTGTGATTCTGCCAAAAAATAAGCTTTCTAGGCCTTCTAGGAGCCAGGATACAGTCCATTGAAGTATGGAAGGTTAGAGACGCAGTGTGTCTCGTTGTCTGCGTTTCTGACTTGCGAAACTTTGAAATGGTGTATCTCAGCTTCTAAACATCCTAGAAAGTTGGTTTTTTGACAGATTTGGAGGAAATTCTCGGCTTTATATGGTTTGGCGCTTGGTCGGGAAGTTTAGCAGACCGAACGAAAAAACGCACGAGTACAGTCCGCGCGCCGACCGATCGGTCAGCTCGGACGGCTGTCAGACAGCTTTCGGTAGATTCTTTCAGATTTTTGCATATGACCTTGTAGCGCAGGAAATTTTCTGTGATTCTGCCAAAAAATAAGCTTTCTAGGCCTTCTAGGAGCCAAGATACAGTCCATTGAAGTATGGAAGGTTAGAGACGCAGTGTGTCTCGTTGTCTGCGTTTCTGACTTGCGAAACTTTGAAAGGGTGTATCTCAGCTTCTAAACATCCTAGAAAGTTGGTTTTTTGACAGATTTGGAGGAAATTCTCGGCTTTATATGGTTTGGCGCTTGGTCGTCGGTCGCTGATTTTCGACCTACCAACACGAAAACCTTAATCCCTAAACTTCAGATTCCGAAGCTTGATCTCCACATTCCAAACTTCACTGGCTGGAATGCTCGGAAAACTTGATGTGGTTTCTGTTCAACCGATTTCCAAATTTGGTATTTTTTTCAAAATTTCCGACTCTTCAAAATTATGATTTCCAGCGTTCGTGGTCACTATGATCTATATGATCGTTGGATCGAAACTAGTGCTTCAACTCTACGTCACCATTATCATGTTCGAATTCGAGGAGATTCGTAATGATAGTGAGAAGCAGACCAATGATTATGAGATTTTGGATCATATTAAGTATAAGGTGAGGTCTACAGTAAGCTTCATGTGGATGAGAAACTTAGCCGACCGACCGTCCGTCGATCAATCCATCAGCTCCGTCGGCTGTCGCTCGGCTAGAAACTTGACTCTTTTTGATTTTCGCATATGACTTTGTAGAGCAAAACATTTCCTGTAAATCTGTCAAAAAAACAATTTTTTAAGCTTTCTAGGAACCGAGATACACCCATTTGAAGTTTGGGAGGTTAGAGACGCAGTGTGTCTCGCCGTCTGCGTCTCTAGCTTGCGAAAATTTGAAGGGGCGTTTCTCAGCTTCTAGGAATCCTAGAAAGTTGGTTCCTGGATAGATTTGAAGGAAATTTTCAGCTACATATTCTCCAAAAATGCCGACTTAGGAGTGAGAAGACGAACACGACAAACTTTTTTCTAGTTTTAGGCCAAACGCCGTCTCGGCCTCCTCGAGCCAAAAGACTTTGCTCCAGTGTCCATTGCTGACACTCAGAAAGACTTCCGTCTATTCCACAGCGCCGTCGCCAAAGTCAATCTCCTTCATCATCGAGCCAATCGAATGCTCCAAACCCAAGGTCAATATCAGAACCAGACCATTATCAACTACACATTAAAGTATGATCCACTGGCGGCAATCGAGAAGGATGGACCGAAACGATTCCAAAAATGGCGGTTGAACGATATGGAGAAGTTCTAATTTTGTGGGATGGCGAGATGTTAAACTATGAAACTGTGAAACAAAAAATAAATTCCTTGTTAATAATTCTTTATTCTTTTGGATCAGTAAGATCAAGAGAGCTCAGCAATGATCACATGCGCATCCACTATCATTTTTGTTCTCCTTATCATCTCTATCTTCTTTTGTCTTCTTCTCCGGAAGAGTGTGCCCTCTACAATGCTCCGTCTCATGCTCCTCTGGCTCCCATGTCGATGGATCGTCGTAGCGACGAGGTGGAGTGTAGATGCAGCAGCAGTTGGATTTCAGACGACCCATGTGTTCATTGTCTGAAACAAAGTTCTAAAATTTAGGAATCGAAAAATTCGAAAATACAAAATTTCAAAAACCCAAAATTCAGAAATTCAAAATATCAGAGATTCAGAAGTTCAGAAATTCAGAAAAATCAGAAATTCAAGAATTCAGAAATTCAGAAATTCAGGATTCCTAGATTTCTAGATTCTGAGATCCTGAAATTCCTACATTCTTAGATTCCTAGATTTCTAGATTCTGAGATTCTGAGATTCTGAGATTCTGAGATTCTGAGATTCTGAGATTCTGAGATTCTGAGATTCGGAAATTCTGAGATTCTGAAATTCTGAGATTCTGAGATTCTGAGATTCTGAGATTCTGAGATTCTGAGATTCTGAGATTCTGAGATTCTGAGAATCTGAGATTCTGAGATGCTGAGATTCTGAGATTCTGAGATTCTGAGATTCTTAGATTCTGAGATTCTGAGATTCTGAGATTCTGAGATTCTGAGATTCTGAGATTCTGAGATTCTGAGATTCTGAGATTCTGAGATTCAATGACAAGCTCCTACCTACAACACCTGCTCCCCAGGTGACATGAGGACGTGGATTCGCAGATCTTAAACGGAGCACAAGTTGCTCAGCTGGCTGCTCCTGCTCCTGAGCCACTTCTTCTTCTTCCACTTGACACGTGGTGGTTAGTCCAGTGATACGTGACATTTTGAAAGAATTGATGGATTTTGAATAGAGAAATATTATTACTTCTTTTCCACGTTTACCGTAACCCTCTTGTTTTTTTCTCGTCCTAGTTTTCAGTTTTTTTCCTCCCCCTTAAGAACCTTTTCCAGCTATTACTAGCTTTTGGGAGTCAATCCATTCTACTGCACCCCATTTGCGTGTTTATTTCGGTTAGCCATGGCTTCCTCGCTCGACAACCACTTGGATCAAGACGGAATGTGCTCGGTGTACTCAATGCCACCATCCGAGACAAATTGCTCGATAAGCGAAGTGTTGGCCAAAGAGATTATTGCCGTCAATGAGGTGTCTGATGATCGTAAGGATTTTTAGAAGTTGGCGATGGTAGCTGGGAGGGGGGGGGCGTATATTTTAAAATTCAGCGCTTCTGAAAATATTGAATCGGAAAAATTTATTTTCAGATGCCGAAATGTCTATCTATTCTGCGCCAAAGTCGGAGACCAATGTGACCATCAGTGACGTGTTCCGCCCGTGTCCAGATGTTCAGGAATTCGTTCAAGCGACGGCTCAGGAGCTCACTGCATCGGTTTACTCGGTCCCAAAATCTGAGACCAATGTGACCATCAGTGACGTGTTCCGCCCGTGTCCAGATGTTCAGGAATTCGTTCAGGCGACGGCTCAGGAGCTCACTGCATCGGTTTACTCGGTCCCAAAATCTGAGACCAATGTGACCATCAGTGACGTGTTCCGCCCGTGTCCAGATGTTCAGGAATTCGTTCAGGCGACGGCTCAGGAGCTCACTGCATCGGTTTACTCGGTCCCAAAATCTGAGACCAATGTGACCATCAGTGACGTGTTCCGCCCGTGTCCAGATGTTCAGGAATTCGTTCAGGCGACGGCTCAGGAGCTCACTGCATCGGTTTACTCGGTCCCAAAATCTGAGACCAATGTGACACTCCGACAAAAGTTCCAAAGATGTGGAGATTGTGAGTTGCTGAGCTAGCTGACTTAAAGCCTCTTACCCATACCTTTCCAGTGGCTAAGGTCCTTGACTACTCCATCTACACTACCCCACTCTCCGAGACCAACGTAACCATGCCAGAAGCCCCATTTAGCTATTCTGAATACACTACTCTCAAATCTGAAACCGACGTCACCATGGCCGATTTCCGAGCTATCGCTTCCTCATCCGAGTACACTGCCAAACCGGCTGAGGCATTTTTCGATAACACTGCTTACGTAGAACATCTTCAAGTGGAACTCGGAATTCCGGATAGCAAAGTGATTGGATTGGAGTGTAGCAATATGTCGATTGCGAAGATTATCGATTCGAATGAGTGTTTGATGAAGCTGGAGAACTTCGTGCCGGTGCCAATGGGCTTTGATCAGCTGCCTGAGCCGAGTACTTATAATTTGGCCATGCAGGCGACTGGTAAGTCACGATATTTTAAAAAAATTTGACAAAAAAATATGGGAACTTTTCAGACAAATCTGTCGAGAGCTACCTTCTCCACTCGTCCAACGCCAGCTCCATCCACCATGAGATTTGATATTTGAATTGAACTGAGATACATGTCAAAATGGCAATTGTCTTTATGAAGATTTCTATTTTTATTTTTCTTTTTATAATATTCACATTTTTTTGGTCCAGTTGGTTTGCGGGAAATTAGAAAATTCAAGTGTCAATCAACAATTTGGGAAATTAGGACAAAAACTAATTTCCAAAGTCCTCTTCCTCCCTAGCCACTTTAGTTTTTAACGATTTTTCAATTGAAACACAAGTTTTTGAATTTAAATTTTTTATTAGATAATCAATTTTTTTCTAAATAAAACTGAGAATTTCAAAATCGAAGTGAAAAATTGGGAAAAAAAATAGAAGTGAAAAATAGGGGGCCAAAAAATCGAAGTGAAAAATTCGGAACAAAAAAATCGAAGTGAAAAATTGGGAACAAAAAAAAGATGTGAAAAAATGGGGGCCAAAAAATCGAAGTGAAAAATTGGGAACAAAAAAATCAAGGTGAAAAATTAAGAGCAAAAAAATTGAAGTGAAAAAATGGGGGCAAAAAATCGAAGTGAAAGAATAGGAATAAAAAAATCAAGTTGAAAAACTGGGTATTAAAAAAATCGAAGATAAACATTTTAAAATTTTCATTGATCTATAAAAAGGTTATATCATTAGTAGTTCAAAATCCGCGAGTATTCAAAGCCAGTTATTTGATGGTGTTCTCCGAGCCAGCGTCGCGTTGAGTGATCTGAAAATTTTGAATCCAAATCGATGACTACCAACTTTTGACTCCTTACACTATCAACAAGAATATCGCGTTGGCGCTGAAGAACATCGATTCGCTGGACCAGAATATTATGCTCAGAATTTGGACAAATTTTGTGGACAACGACTCCTTTTGCAGACTGAAATTTTGATTTTATTGAATACCGTAAACACTCTGTTAGAGTGCCACCCGAACAGTCAAATTTAGCCCAGATATCTATGTTCCTGTAAGAGATATAAAAAAGCGGTCAACAGATAAAATGTTTATCATAATATCACCAATATTTTTTTTTAGTTGACCACGTTTTGATAACTCTCACAGAAACCGAGATAATGTGCCCCAAGTTTGAAAGTTAGGAGGGTCACTCTAGGAGGACTCCTAGCTTTCAACTTTGAGTTGATTGATCTCGGTTCCTGAAAGAGATAACAATAAGGAGTCAACTAAGAAAATATTTATGATTTTATGATAAACATTTTATCAGTTGATTACTATTTGCTATGTCTTACGGGAACCGAGATATCTGGGCTCAAAGTTGACGGTTTGGGTGGCACTCCATTCAAACTCACCAATTCCTTTACCTTCTCTTGCAGAGCCATCTTCTCAGTCTTCTCTTTCAAACACGTTTGTTCCGTTAGCTTCCTTGTCATCTTTTCCTCTCTCCATGCATCCTTCACGATCTTTTCAGCCGCCTTCATCTCATTCTCAAACCTTTTTCGTTTTTCGGATTCTTGTTTGATCATGTTCTTCAATTCATCCAACTGATTGTTTTGCTCCTCCAACTTCTTTTTCTGATCCTCTACTTCTCGTTGCAATTTTTTGATGTCCTGATTCTTCTCTTCAAGCATTTGGACTCCTCGTTTTTTGAGATTACTGTACTTGCGATTTACGGTTTGGATCTCTTCGTCTTTCTGGGTCAGTTGGTTTTGAAGTTTGCGAATTTTGAGCATTCCAGAGACTTCTTCCATGTCGACTTCGGCTTGTAGCATTTCATTTTCTCGATCTTTCTCGGCCAATTTCTCCTGGAGATTTCTTTTTTCAGCGTTCCATGCCGCCCATTTCTGTGTCCAACCCTCCGTAGTCAAAGTGTAGAGCATTTGCTGCTTGAGCATCTCGCTCATAAGAGCATTCTTCTCAGATTCCATCATTGTTACCTGCTTCTCCATTATCTGCTGATGATTTGACTTGATTTTGATAAAGAAGACATCGATTTGTTGCAGAGCAATTTTGGCGTTTTCCAGCTTTTCCTCTAATTCCATTTTCTCTTCCAGTATCTTGTTCTTCTCAGTCTCTCTTCTCTCTAAAACTCCCAATATATTCATGAGTCTTGAGAACAAATCATCCATCTGCTCGTCTGTTTTATAGCTCTCCTCTTTCAGCTCGCAAATTTCAGATTCCAATTTCGAAATCTTCAAATCCTTCTCCTCGTCTTCTTTCTTCTTCTCCTCCAGTTTCTCCTCCAACTCCTTCATCTGAACCTTCATCGCATCACACGTGGCAACCAGCTCCTCATACGACGTTTTCTCGATTAAAATCGAAGTCTCTCCAATGTTCGTCTTATCGTCCTCATTGTTGATGGTCTCGCTGGCAATGAAAGATGGCTCAATATTGAATGACCTGGAAAATTTTTTAAAGGGGATATTGAATTTTAAATTTACCATAAATGTCGCGGGCCGGGCCGGTAGAGGAATTTTTACTGGCCCGGCCCGGCTGGGCTGGCCCGGGTTTTTAAGGCAAAAATTTTTAAGAGTCATTTTTTGAGAGAAAGCTGGATTTTTGGGAACATTTTATCAAATTTTTTTTTGTTTTAAGGTTAAAGAAGGGTCATGGGATTCATTTCGTGTTTTAAAATGATTATTTTGACAAAAATGTATCAAAAATTAACAGAAATTTTTTGAAATATTCGGGACCCGGGCCGAGCCGGGCCGAGATTTAGCAAGTAAAAAATTTACCATTCTCCGTTCAATGCATCGTCGTAGTCGAGCCATGCGGCTTTGTTCGAGTTTTGGTCCTTTGGACTGTCTCCACCAACTGGCATTTTTTTGAATGAACGAAATATCAAGGAATATAATTTTTGTGGTTTTATTAAGATTTTGGACCATTTTGCGTGGAATTTTTTTCTCAGAATTTCAGAGCAAGTCCCTGGATTAACTATCGCGTCGGCACGTGGTGACCTAGAAAACTCATCTTACAAAAATTAGGCCACCACCTTAAAATGACCTAAAAACACACCAGACAGACCAATTACAGGCCGAAAAAAATAGTGGCCCAGAAAACTCATCTTGGAAAAGTTAGGCCACTATGTAAAAATCACCTAGAAAACCACACCAGGTGAATATCTGACCATTTCAAGGCCAAAACAGTGCTTGGCCTAGAAAACGCAATTTGCAAAAGTTAAGCCATAACGTTAAAATGATCCAAAAACACACCAATCACTTGCTAACGATTCCTCATACTCAGCTTGAATTCTTTGAATACCGTATAATTTCAGACACCCCCCCCCCCCCTAAAATGTTTCTCATAATATCGGCAACATTTTATCAGTTTATCCCTTTTTGATATCTCTCACAGGAACCAAGATAAATGAACTTAAAGTTGGCATGGGGGGAGGGGGACTTTGATTTGATGAGAAAGTTTGGGGTTTCATTTTGTTATTTTCTCGAGGTCAAAAATTAGATCCACTGCCATTTTCTGTCAATATCTTTTGATATCAATCACGTTCCTCTATGGGTGTTTGTGTGTAGATGAAAATGAGAGAAAAAGAGAGATTCATTTTGTTTTCGTCGAGATTTTTTATAATTCACTCTACTTGTCTCGGTAAGACAAGTAGAGTGAATTTTCAGGTGATATATGTATTGATTTTTTTGTTTACTAGTTTTTTAGGGTTAAGTCTTTGATTAACTGTCCTCATTTGTTTCCCTTTTTCCGACATTGAATTACCGTTGGCACTCTAATAGAACGCCACCCTTCACTTTCAAATTTGAGCTCACTTATCTCGGTTTCTTTGAAAGATATCAAAATGTGGTCAACTGACAATATATTTTTGATATAAAGATTGACATTTTATCAGTTGATCACTTTTTGATATCTTTCACAGGAACCGAGATATATGAGCTCAAAAAATTGTTCATTTCCAGGATATGTTATGCGGTATCAAAACTCCGATCACCTTACTGGCTCTGTTGTTTCTAGCATCATGTGTTGATTCTGAAAGTTTCGGGTGCGTTAATTTCTTTTTTCTGGAATTCCAGTTTTTTTTCGAAGTTTCAGAAACCGAGTTACCCGATCAGATGATGTCAAAAAAGAACCACAAGGAGGATCAATTTTCAAAATTCGAACTACAGTATTCTTCTTCATTTATGGCTTTCTTGTGCTTTTGGCGTTTATTGGATTCTTGGTTTGGCGACTTCGAAGGTCCAAGTTTCAAGCGAGGAACAGTAAAATGTGAGTAGATTCGCTAATCCTTCATCTTCTAAAATTTCAGGCATTTCGAAAACATTTGCCAGGAGTTGGATGGGAGTGAAGACCCGGTTCCAGAATCCATGAAAGACGCGCCTATAAATGATAAAATCGATTATCTACCGTATAAAAAGAATTACGAAATCGCAAAAGAGAATTTGGAAAAAGGTCCTGTTTTGGGACATGGAATGTTTGGGGTGGTCAAAAAGGGATACCTCAAAATGGCGGATCCAAAAACCGAGGATGAGCAAAAAATGAAATTGGAAGTTGCAGTGAAATGTGAGCTTTAAAATGAGGTCTCTGTTTCGGTCGGTCGAAAACCGATCTACTGCCGTCTGAGCCAATTCGGTCAGCTCGGTCGGCTGTCACCCGGCTAGAAACTTGACTTTTCATTTTCGCATGTAACCTTAAAGAGCAGAAAATTCCTTGCAATTCTGTCAAAAAACCAACTTTCTAGATCTTCTAGGAACCGAGATACACCCATTTGAAGTTTGGGAGGTTAGAAACGCAGTGTGTCACGTTGTCTGCGTCTCTAGCTTGCGAAACTTTGAAGGTATGTATCTCGGCTTCTAAAAATCCTAGAAAGATGGTTTTTGAACAGATTTGAAGGAAAATTTCCGCTTAATATTCCCCAAAACTAACACTCAAACGCTCTCTGGCGTGTTGACGATCACAGATCCAGTCGACAGTCGGTCGGTTGGCTGAATTTCCTGACCAAATGGAAGCGTTACTCTGAAATTCTGAAAATTTAACAATTTCTATTTATTTCAGCCGTCAAAAATACATATGCCTTGGACCAAATCAGTATGCTAGCCGCTGAACTTCGATTGATGTGTGCAATTGGGAAATTCCCAAATGTTTTGGCACTAGTTGGTGCGGTCACCTCGGAATTGAGGAAGTGAGTAGACCAGCTTATATTTTCAGAGTTCAAAAAAACTTAAAATTTTCAGAGGACATCTTCTAATTGTGACAGAATATATAGATCAGGGAGACTTGCTAGAGTACGTCAGAAAGCACCGTCACCTCTTCGAAGATCATTTGGTACCGGATAAAACTGAACCAGTCAGCTATCTGACCCCATTGAGCGCTAAGAGGAAAACGTATCATTTTAAAAATGAAGAAGGGGAGACGGAGAAAGCGATTAGTCAGAATTTGGACTCATTGACGACTTCAGACTTGCTTTCGTTTGGATTGCAAATTGCTAACGGAATGCAATATTTGTCCACGATTCCGGTAAGCTTATCAGGCAATAAACAGTTCACAATTATCTAAACGACATGAAAACGGATATCACGAACTGACATAGCTTGAAAAACAATAATTCGTTGAAAAGACCGAATTTTTCAAAAAAAGAGTTTCAGCTAGTACACCGAGACTTGGCTCTTCGAAATGTCCTTCTTAAAAAGAACAAGACCATTCGGATAGCAGACTTTGGAATGGCAAGAAAGTATGATGACAAAACATATTATAAGTGAGGCAAGGTGCTTAGACACCTCAATTCAACACAAAATGTAACCAAAATTTTTCTTAAGACAATCTTCCAAAGAGGTCCCAGTTCCTATCCGTTGGATGTCTCCAGAAGCTGTCCACAACATGAAATTCACTCAGCAATCCGATGTTTGGTCATTTGGAATCTGTCTCTACGAGCTTTTTACACTTGGTGGTCTTCCATATCCTACCATTGATAATGAAGATATCTATGTTTATATTCAAAGTGGAAGACGTTGCTTGCAACCTGATCATTGCCACGTGGAGTTGTAAGATATCAAAGCTCAATTATCTCGGTTCCTATAAGAGATATCAAAAAAGTTTCAGCTGTTAAATTGTTCATGATAATATCAGCAATAATTCATCAGTTGATAGATTTTTAATACCTCTCATAGGAATCGAGACAATTGAGCTTGAAGTTGACGGTTACGGTGGGCTTCTATTCGAGCAAGTACGGTAACTACACTCCAGCTCAAATATCTCGGTTCCTATGAGAGATATCAAAATTCTGTCAACTGATAAATTGTTAATCATAATTTCAGCAGTATTTGATAAGTTGACAGATTTTCGACATTTTTAGAAAGAACCCAGATAATTGAGCTCAAAATTTCAGATACGATCTCATGAAATTATGTTGGAATGCCAAACCAGAACTGCGACCAACATTCACTCATATCGTAGAGTATTTTGTGGAGCATATGAAAAAGTCCGCGGAGCATGTAAGTTGCTAGAAACTTTTAAAAAACGCGCAAAAATGAATTTTTAGGTTTATGACTTTGTGGAAGACATGCTCCGATTGGAAGCGGAAAGCCAGAGGAAGTTGGATGATTGGATAAGAATTAATCGGTCGGAAGCTTCTGAAGTTGATCTTAAATCTGTTTAGCTTGTTTTATTTTGTACAAATCAATAAAAATTTGAACGTTTTTTTACAGAAATCCAAAAAATCGCAACAAAAAAATTCATAAAAGAAGAAGAAACATTTCTGAATTTCTGAATTTCTGAATTTCTGAATTTCTGAATTTCTGAATTTCTGAATTTCTGAATTTCTGAATTTCTGAATTTCTGAATTTCTGAATTTCTGAATTTCTGAATTTCTGAATTTCTGAATTTCTGAATTTCTGAATTTCTGAATTTCTGAATTTCTGAATTTCTGAATTTCTGAATTTCTGAATTTCTGAATTTCTGAATCTCTGAATTTCTGAATTTCTGAATTTCTGAATTTCTGAATTTCTGAATTTCTGAATTTCTGAATTTCTGAATTTCTGAATTTCTGAATTTCTGAATTTCTGAATTTCTGAATTTCTGAATTTCTGAATTTCTGAATTTCTGAATTTCTGAATTTCTGAATTTCTGAATTTCTGAATTTCAAGTTCAAATAGTTTCTGTATTTCCAAATATCTAGATGTCCGTCTCCATTAGAGCAAACAAGAGAGGCCCTTTCCCCGTGTTTCATCTCTAATTTGCTCTTGAGCAACCATCAGCCAAACTATTTGATTTTCTCTGAACTTGTAGTATCTGTTGCCTGGCGCAAAAAGTTTCACTCCAACAAAACATCACTTTTTGCAGTTACTTGTCAGAAGATTAAACTAAAATTCAACGCATTCTCTTTTCTTTAATTCTCCCGATACAATACACCGTATCAATTACGTCAAATGGCATTGATGCCTCTATTTTTTGATTGATTAGGTAATAGAGAAAAAAGGATTTCCGTTTTCTCTTTGGTTTGATTTTCTCTTCTTGTTCTTCTATTTCTTTTTTTCGATTATTATATTTTTTAACCTGTGAATGGATAAATGGAAATTCGATTAATATGAGGGGTTCCCTTATTATAATCACCCTCGTCACATGTGCTTATTCCGTACCCATATCAAAGTGAGTGGCATTTATTATAAACCTGTAATAGAAGGGCGGGCGGGCGGGCGCGCACACACACGCGCACAGACACACACACACACACACACACACGCACACACACACACACACACACACACACACACACACACACAGTCAAGTTTAAAATCAGATATCTCAACTTCTCTGAAAGATATAGAAAACGTTTCAACTGATATAATAATTTTGATAATAAGATAAACATTTAATCAGTTGACAACTTTTTGATATCTCACAAGGGAAGTGTTTTCAGACAGTGTTTGAGAATTTTTTCAAAATTGGTACACATATACTTTCAGACATGGTCAATAACGAGACGACTTTTTTTCGTGCCCCTCGGTACCTAGAATCTGAAAAAAACGCGTCTGAAATTTCACCTCTGTTAAAGCATTAAAAGCGTGAGCGCGATCTCCCCCTTTCTTATACAAATTGTGGGAGCAGTGAGGAACAGCAAGTGTGGTGTAGTGGTGAAGAGGGATGGTGGTAACTGACAAGGGTTAGTTCGATCCCTCTTTTCCCAATTTGTTTTCTGTTTTGTTTTTCTGATCTTGCTGGAAATCTCAAAATGTGTCAAAACCTTTAGAAAAAATTTCCATTCAGATTTTTATTAATTTTGAAAAAAAATTTTTGACTTGTTTCGAAAAAAAAACCCAAGAATCATTTTGAAATTTTCTTGTTAGAACTGCTGGAAAACCACCTTTAATCAAATTGTTAGTCAGGACCACCCAGATTTGCTCAGTTTGGATGCGGAAAAGTAATAAATTAGTCAGAAATTATGTAAACCTATGTTTTTACAAGATTTGAGTGCTACTGGGTGATTACCGATGGCCTACGATCCATTAAAATTTTGAAAGAAAGCACATATTTGTGATTTCCAAAAACATTTAGAATGCCAAATTTCATGAAAAGACTCATTTTATCGGGTTTTTTTTCGTTTAGAAATCATTTTAGCACATTTGAAAATTTTTCAAAAAATTGTAAAAATTTCCAAAGGGGGTACCCCATGGCGACTTTTTTTCAAAAAAATTTTTTTTTGAAAAATGAGGCTACTTTCTCAGATTGTAGAGAAACCTTCAAAAGTACGATTTACATTCGAGAAACTCCGAACAACTGTTATTAACCCCTCCGAAAATTCACTCCAAAAGTGAGAAATTAGCACTGAAATCACTTTCAGAGCCCATAACTTTTTTGTGAGGGGCAAGGGGCAAAAAATAAAAGCAGCGCTGTGATCAGCGTGTCCAAAAGTACCAATGACCAAAGTTTGAACAAATTCTCAACCACTGTCTGAAAGCACTTCCCTTGTCAGTCAGAAAGCCTTTATATCACAAGTTCTACAGTATGTAGGCTTCAAACAACCTCAATATTATTTTAGGACCCGAAGATACCGAAGAAACATTTTCACCGACGCTACTCTGAAACAAAACAGATGGATTCTGTTCTTTTTCCTCTATGGTGTTCTTATCATGTTGTTCGTGGTTCTGTGTATGTTATGGACAGTTCGCAAAAGAAGACAAAGTCAATCATCAGTGAATAATGATAGGTGAGTTTCAATTTGAATTTCCGCAAACACAATAGCGTCAAAATACAGACAAAAATCACGAAAACGTTCCTTACGCCTCAAGTTTGAGGTTTCAGGAACATACCTGCACTTTGAGCTTATATATCTTGGTTCCTGTTACAGATATCAAAAATAAGTCAACTAACAAAATGTTAGTTATATTATGATAAACAGTTTATCAGTTGACCACTTTTTGATATCTCTTACAGGAACCGAGATATTTGAGCTCAACGTTGAAAGTTAAAAGAGTAAGTCAACCGTAACTTGTAAGAGAAGAGGTCCCACATTGCTAATTTAAAAGTTATTCATCTCGCTTCCTGTGACAGATATCAAAAAGTAATAAACTGGCAAAATGTTGGTGATATTATGATAAATCATACATCAGTTGACAAAATTGTGATATCTTATACAGGGAACGAGATAAATACGCTCAAAGTTTAGCGGCAGGTTTTCTAATAAGAGTCTCGGATGCCCTTTTTTATGGGCCCTCCTAATTCAGGTTTTATGATACTGTCCAAGATTGAAACGATTGGACTCTAAAGAGTTTCCAAAGTTTAAGAAAAATCAATTTCAGCCCTGAAAACGACACTCCCAATAACAGTCAAAACAATCATCAACGAGAAGATATCACAATGGAAACGATAACGCAGCTAGAGGAAACTGAACCTCTCTTGAATACACAACAAGAAAACGAAGAATGTCCTTCTGACTTACTTTCGGGTCCAATCAACGAACGCATCGATTATCTCAAATTTGACGAGTCTCGCGAGATCAAAAGAAGCAATATAAAGATGTTCAAGCCAATCGGAAATGGGCAGTTCGGAGCGGTTCATATAGGTCTATTGAAGAGATCAAACACAACGTGGGAAAAGGGACCAACGCTTCCTGTGGCTTTAAAACGTATGTTTTTAGATTTCCGCAAAACCTGAAATATAAGGGCCCTCACACTGTCAACTTCGGTATTTATTGTCTAAAAAAGACGAATTGCAGGTCCTATACATCATTACAACGCGGCAAATTTGCAATTGACTTACGAAGAACTTAAATTAATGTGTGCGATTGGAAAGCATCCTAATGTGATTTGCCTTATTGGAGGTGTCGTCAATGGCTTGCAAAAACAGTAAGGATCTGGAAAAATTGAATTGTGTATTTTTCATATTCAGAGCAGAAACTTGGATTGTTTCCGAGTATGTTGAATGCGGGGACCTTTTGGAGTTTTTGCGAAAAAGCCGAGACATTTTCGAAAATAAGCTGATCAGCTCGCAAAATGGATATATGGTTCCTACAAAGAAGTTGTACCTGTCAAAAGAAGAACCAGAGAATGGAAAGGCGAAATTATCAACATATGATCTTCTTTCGTTTGCCTATCAAATTGCAAATGGAATGGATTATTTGGCAAAGATTAGGGTTTGTTGAGCTCGATTAACTTTGAACTCAATTATCTCGATTACTGCAAGGGATATCAAAACTTTGACAACTGATAAATTATTTATCACAATATCAGCAGTATTTTATCAGTTGACAGATTTTCAATATCTCTAATATGAACCGAGATAATTGAGCTCAAAATTGACATCCGTATTTTTTCTAAACGAATGTTACAGTTGGTTCATCGTGACTTGGCTCTACGTAATATTCTTATCAACAAGAACAAAACAATTCGAATTGCGGATTTTGGCTTGGCTAGAAAAAATAATAAAGGATACTACAGGGTGAAACACATGGAAACCCATCTTCCATATTACTATAGTTCCCCGGAAAGTTGGGATACTCAAAAATTCAATGAGAAATCAGATGTTTGGTCATTTGGCGTTTGTTTGTATGAGATTTTTTCGCTGGGAAAAGAACCGTATGCAGATGTCAAAGAAGTCCAAAATAGTAAAAACGATTTGATGGTTTACTTGAAAGCTGGGAATCATTTATCGAGACCCGAGTTTTGCCATCCAGAAGTGTGAGTTGGAATCTGTTATCGAGGGGCAATAATAGTGAACTTTCAGGTACAAAGTGATGGAATTGTGCTTCAATCTCGACGTCGACGTTCGTCCAAACTTTTCTCTCTGCTTAGAATACTTCGCGGAGCATTTGAGTACCGCAGCAAAACCCGTGAGTGTTTAGAACTACAGTATTCCCTCTAGAAGACTCCCACCAACTTTGAGCTCAATTATCTCAATTCCTGTAGAAGATATCAAAAATGTGTCAACTAATAAAATCTTTATCATAACATCGCCAATATTTTCTCAGTTGACAGAATTTTGATGTCTTCTATAGACAGCGAGATAATTAAGAGCAAAGTTGGCAGTTTCGATTGCCTTCTATTTCGCTCACTATGAGTTCAATTATTAGGTTGATACGAAAGTTTCTTTTGATTTTGGTAAAACTTTTGATCACATTTTTCTCTAAGCGGATGGGGTTAGATCAATGAAAGTAATGTCCACGAGCATCGATAGTTGTCTGCCAACGCTTCAGTTTTTGATTCCATCGGCTCAGAACGACGAGGGCTGCGATTCAAAAAGTGGGTCAACTCCTTTTTGGTGTCATCTTTTCACTTGAGGTTTTTTCTATCAAGATGACGTTTAAGTGCCTCAATGTATCCAAAAGGTCAAGGTCTGGAAAATACAGACGGTACAAAAGAATAGTCCAACCGAACGACATGAATTTTTGGCTGATACCTCTAGTCACGGGAGATCTCAAATTGTCGCGCTGGAAGAACCCTTCGACCCAGTTCTTGAAGTTGTCATGACACTTTAATCCGGTCACAATACTTGGTTGACTAACAGACATTGCCTTTGACATTTCACAAATGGTTTGCCATCCCATTGACCAGATATCAATTCTCAAAGTTAAACATTTAAAATTGAAAGAAATTTTTGCATCAACCTAATATCTCGGTTCCTATAAGAGATATGAAAAATTTGAAAACTGATAAAGTATTGGTGATGTTATGATAAATAATTTATCAGTTGACAAATTTCTGATATCTTACACAGGATTCGAGATAACTGAGCTCAAAGATGACGGTTCTGGTGGGCTTCTATTGAGGGTATATAGTGTTTTCTGTAAGGTATAGTTTTTCAGTTATTTGAAGAAATCGAGCATAATTTACAATTGGAGGCAGAGAAGCAACGGAAGCTGTCTGATTGGGTTCAAGATGATGATGATGATGATGAATAATAATTTTTTGGACAATTTTGGGACATGTACAAATTTACTATCGAGATCAATTGATTTTACGGCGTAAAACTTGTTTATTAGAATATAAAGTTGTTATAAAGTTTTTATTTTATGGTTCTTAAATTTTTTTTCAAATAGCTTCGCCCTGAAGACAAAAAAACAAGGCCATCTCGGCTTGCAACTTCTGGACGGAAGTTGAGGGGGGCTCGGCTTTTCGACGGATCTTGGTCAGAATTTGGTCAGAGTCGGATTTGGCCGGAATTTGAAGGCACTGCGTGTTAAGAGGTCGGAAGCTGGCCGGTAGTTTGTCGGATCTTGGTCGGCTTCCCACAATGTCTTTGTGAGAATCTGACCAAGATCAGGCCAGAAGTAACCGGCGACGCCTGAGATATATAAGCCATATATAGGATATATAAGCTGACTACCGTATTTTCTCTAATAGCCCACCTAAAACGTCAACTTTGAGCTCAATTATTTCAGTTCCTATAAGAGATACTATAAATGTGTCAACTCGTAAAATGTCAGTGATATTATGATAAATAATTCTCTTTTCTCTCCGCTTCAAGAGATATGTTTTTCTGTTTCATCACTCGAAAAAGGAATTTATGTTACATGTTTATTACTAAATAGGTTTTACGTGGAATAATAAGGTCGTGTAAAGGATACAGACACATACAACCGAGTGTGGCAACTCACACACACTCGGGAAGGAATCAAGAAATATTACAATAAAATCAATAATTTGAATTCGGGGAGAAAACGGTATAGGAGATCGGGAGAAAATGTTTGGGAGATCAAAAAAAATTGAGATTTGATAGAACATGATAATCGAGTTAGTATAACACAACAAACAGCTAGTAAAACAATTCAAACCTATAAATATTACAGTATTATTAATCTTCGTCGTCCTCGTCGTCGAACTCTGCCTGAGACTGTAGACATCCTTGAGCTGTTGGAACATCAGTGAGATACCGCTGAAGTCCTGCCGCCGATCTCCATCTTCCTCTGCATTGAATTTCCCCCATTGAATGCCCGATTCTCCTCATGTGGTTGGCTCCTCCTCTTCTGAAGCAGTGATAAGCCGCTCCCGGCTTCCCGATCGCTGCCAGCATCTTCGTCGAGAGCGTCGAAATGGCTTGTTTCGAGAGCTTCTTCGAACCGTCCAGGTGTGAAAAGACGTATGGACACTTCCCTTTGGTTCGAAGTCTCCATCGGCACATCAAGATGTCCGCATCGCTGCCTGGCTCGTAGTTGAAAAACGAACGTCTTCCAAGTCTATTCTGGTCATTCTTTGCCTTCTCTACATGCACCTCAATCATCCCGTCTTTCTGTGTTACTCCTGCCCACTTGATCTCAGCTGCTTCCGATGCTCTTAGCTGACATTGAACGATAGAATTGCCAGCAACGCATCTCGATCCCTCTCCGGACTGTCTTCTTTCATTGCCAACATTGTGATCTTCTGCACATCCTCCATAGTCACTTTCACTACTTCTTTCTTTAGCAGGCTTTCCTCTCTTCTTTTTGACTTGATGATGTCTGACACAAAAGACGCTCCGATGGCTGAAATGCCTTCATTTGCTGTTTGATAGGCATCCGAGATCTTCGCCAAAGCACTACTCCCGATTTGCTTAGCTCTGTCCAACAAGTATAACAGAAATGACGACTCGTCCATTTGAAGCTTCTTCTGAGAAATCCACGAATTTCTCTTGTCGTTCTCTGCCTTGTAAGCGGCAGCTGTGGACGTAGCTTTGGCTTCAAAGGGGATCATCTTGAGTCTCTCGATGTGGTGTTTAAACCCTTCTCCTGCCTTCTGCTTGAGTTCCTCGACGAACTGTCTTTTGGCTCCTTCTGAAAATTATAGTTAATCTATTTTCCCTCTCATTTCTCTCTTTTTCTCTTTTTCTCTTTTCCCCCGGGTGGGTGGGCTGGGTGACTTGTTAAAACACGTAGAATGATTTCAAAATTCGAGTTTCATGCCCGTTCGGGCATGTTCGCTTCGAGACCCGCGGCGCCCAGAAAGTGTGTGCGCCTTTAATCTCGCGCGTCCTTTTTCTCCGCTATTCAACGAAAAACATAATATTCATCAGTTGACAAATTGTTGATATATTTTACAGGAATCGAGATAGTTGTGTTCAAAGTTGACGAATATGTGACTATTATCTAAAGCGAAAGGTATTTTTGATACTTTGAGATGCTTTGATAGCTTTGATCTCATGAGATGTTGTGCTTCAGAGAGAAAAGAATGAATTCATTTGAAGTTAAATAATATTGAAATTCAAAGTTCTAAGCAGTTCTTTAAAATTATCAAATGGCTGAAAATCAAAAAAAAACTGAAATTCTCAGTAGATCCGACTATTGTATTTGTTCTAATTGAAACCCAAACCGCCAACTATGAACTCAATTATATCGATTTCTGCAAAAAAATTTCAAAAAACTTTCAATTGACAAAATATTTCACAAAGTATCCGCTATATTTTATTAGTTGAATAATTTTTGATAGCTCTCATAGGAACCGAGATAATTTAGCTCAAAGTTGACGGGTATCTTCAGCTTCTCGGATTTCTATATTATTCTCGTGAACCCAGTTAACATATTTATTCATGCCTCTCAAAATCACCCACGTACCAGCCATCACATTCAGCCAACATCAAGAAAAATCAGTTTGGAATCGTTCTCCTTCGTGGAGCCTAATGGACACCCCGGCGCACAAAGCGGCAGGAAATGACAAGCAAAAAGTGATTTTTAAAAATCAGAATTTTTCCTCTTTATTCAATTTTCCAGTTAAAAGTTGTCGCTTGGTTGAATAGTGTAATCGACCGGCTCAAAGGTTGGACTCAAAGTCACTGTCAGAAATTGTTCGTTGAGAAGGAGCTGATCGAGCTGTGCTACCGTGCACGAGAGACGTTCTGGAAGAATAATGTCAAGTTGGAGGTCAGAGCACCTATCAAAATCTGCGGTGACATACATGGCCAGTATTCGGATCTTTTGGCACTTCTCGAGTTGAATGGATGGCCTCCCGAGACCAAATACTTGTTTCTTGGGGACTACGTGGATCGTGGACCATTTTCAATTGAGGTCATGTCGCTTCTTTTTGCCTATCAAATCCTGTATCCTGATAAGGTTTCGTTGCTCCGAGGAAATCACGAGAGCCGTCCCGTCAACATGCAATACGGATTCTTCCTGGAATGTCGTAAAAGATACTCTGTCACTCTCTACGACGCATTCCAGATGGCATTCTATTGTATGCCGTTGTGTGCAGTGATCAGTGATAAAATTATTTGCATGCACGGGGGAATTTCTGAGGACTTGGTGGATTTAAAGTAAGTGCACAAAAGTGTCAATTAGGCTTGTTCAATGTGGGAAATTGGGAATCTCGTTTTCCCAAATTTCGGGAGTTTTCCCCGACAGTTATTTCAACGAATTTTTTCCGGGAAATTTTCCAGTCATAAATTTTCTAGATTTCTTACATGCTCATTTCATTATGAATTTTAGGCAACTAGACAAAGTGGAACGCCCATGTGACATCCCTGATATCGGTGTGATTGCTGATCTGACTTGGGCGGATCCTGATCACTCGATTCAGATGTACAATGAATCCTTTCGAGGTGCTGGTCGAGTGTTCGGTACAGAAGCTGTCAAAAAATTCCTGAAAATGCACAATCTGGAATTGATCGTTCGTGCACATCAGGTGGTTGATGATGGATACGAGTTCTTTGCCGATCGCCAACTGGTTACAATATTCTCGGCTCCATCGTATTGTGGAACGATGAATAATGCTGCGGCGGTGATGACGATTGATGAGGAAATGGTAATGCTTTTAAAGCTTGTATTTGGTCGGCATTTTCTGAAATTTTGAAAAAAAATGTTTCAAAAAATCTGAAAATCCAGATCTGGGATTTTTCTTCTCTATTTTTCACACGTTTCTATCCAAAAATGAACTTTCTAGCTCATCTAGGATCCGAGATACATCGCTTTGAAGTTGAAGTGGTGAGAGACGCCAGACGACGAGACACACTGCGTCTCTAACCTCCTGAAACTTCAGATGACTGTATCTCGGCTCCTAGATAAGTTAGAAACCTGGGTTTTGGACCAAAATGAAGCCAAATATCAATATTTGTCGAGTTCATATATTTACTTTTTTGGGTATTTCAAGACCTCCGAATTTTATAATCTCTAAATAGCTCAAGATTCTGAATTTTTAGGAAAAATGCGCTCCTTGAATTTTTCACACATTTATGTCTAATTTTTGTTTTTCTAGCTTATCTTGAAGCCGAGATACAGCGATTTGAAGTTTAGGGGGTGAGAGACGCAGACGACGAGACACCCTGCGTCTCAGAAACTTAAAATATTGATATCTCGGCTCCCAGATGAGCTAGAAAGTTCATTTTTGGACAGAAACGTGTAAAATTTCAAGAAGAAAAATCGAAGATCGGAGTTTCCAAAGTGTTTGGATTTTTATAACCATTACATCTTCCAGGTCTGCTCGTTCACTGTAATGCGTCCGGATCTCAAAAAAGAAAAAGACAACAAATCACCGGCTGCAGGTGCTCCGGTCCCAACCTAAAATGTTTAACTCCCTGACGAAGTTCTCAATGCAATGAATAAAATGTTTTTGAATTTTTTTTTACTTTAACAAACTTCTAAACAAATTCAGAAGCAAGAAAGAAAGAATAAGAAGAAGAAGGCCTAAATTGAATTTACAAGGCGAGAGAGAAGAAAGAAAAGTTTTTCTTTTTCACTCTTTTCGTTTTTTCCTTTTCAGATTATCGACAACTCCCTGTTGGGAATTCAACACCACAGACAAAAATTGTAAGAAATATTCAGGGTTTTTTGAATGTACCCAAAAAACTCAAAGTGTTGAAAGTTGTTTCTATGAAGAAGTTTGACCTACTAGATATTGGATATCTAGATTTGGGGGAGATACGTGGTTTTCTTAGTTTCGTACCACACATTTTGTCCCCTGAGGATAGGAGAAGGGCCCCCTTTCATTTCATCCCAAATGAAGGATGAGCCATTAAACATTGTTTCCATTTCCATCTCCCCCTCTTCTTTCTCGGGCTCTCCGCTTCATTTACATATACTTTATTTGGTTTTCCATTTTGAAATTGGTTTTCGGAAGATGGCCTGGAAGATCTTTCAGGCGTTTGGATGACTTAGCGAACCTTTTGCTCATTTCAAGCTTATTGCAATGTTATTTGAGACTGATGCGAGAAGCACATATCGACGAGACACTCTAACTATCTGCGTCTTTCCAAACTTTAAAGCGCGGTCCCTCAATTCCCAGATAAGCTAGAAAAACAAAAAAATGGATAGAAGCATACTTGTAAAATTCCGGCCCGGCCCGCCAAAGCCCGGGTCCGGGCCGGGCCTGAGGAAAATTTCAAGGCCCGGTAGCAAAAAATTCTGTCATTTTGAACCGAATTTTGAGCTCTCAATACAATTTTCTATATTTTTTTGTGCTTTTCGGATTGTTTGTCTGTTTGATCAAAAAATATCAAAAAAAAAACTCGAAAAAAATTTTCTATCGAAAAAAATCACATAAGGGTCCTTATGTGTTTTTTGAAATTTTCAAAACTTGTGGAATGACAGGCCCGCCGGGCCGGGCCGGGCCTCCGAAATTCGGGAAAAAGTCCGGCCCGGTCCGTTACAAGTATGGATAGAAGTGTGTGAAATTTTGAAGCCCTTTTTTGTAGAAATTTGGACTTTTGAGCTAAAACGAAAATTTGAAGGTTTTGGAATTCCAAAAAATCATAATATTACTGATTCAAAAGTATTATAATCTTTCTTCATTTTGGCCCAAACCCAGGTTTCTAGCTCATCTAGGAAATACAGCGATTTCAAGCTTTCAAGGTTAGAGACGCAGTGTGTCTTGTTGTTTGCGTCTCTAGCCTGCTAAACTTTGAAAGAAAAATTTTAAAATTTTACAGAAAATTTCCTCTCTATCTGTCAAAAAACCAACTTTCTAGGCCTTCTAGGAACCGAGATACAGTCAATTAAAGTTTTGGAGGGTAGAGACGTAGTGTGTCTTGTTGTCTGCGTTTCTAACTTGCGAATCTTGTTAGAAGTGTATCTCGTCTTCTAGATATCCTAGAAAGTTGGTTTTTTGACAGAATGAAAGGAAATTTTTCCATTTCACGGTGTCCTTTCTTTTTAGACTTTATCAGAGTTGAGATTACTGCAAGCCTATTTTTGGCAGCTAATGCATTCTCTTCCTTATGGACCATAAGTCGCGGTTTTATTACCCTATTCCTCCTATTCTCACTGACCCATCCCTCAAAAAAGAACACATTGTCCCTCCCCTTCCTTCCTTTCTTCATCGTCCCATCTACCCATCGCATTTGTGCTCATTGAGCCCTCTCTCCCTTTTCTGTTTAATTGTTAGTGTAGTGCGAATTGACATGTCGACTTCTGCTAGAATTGAAAAACGGAGCGTTGTTGGGTTTGAGAAAATTTGTGGCGACAACGACGACAAAGAAGACGAATTGGTACTTTGTGAAATGGAGAGCGAAAGAGAGGCGCGAAAGCGGATTAGTGTACTCTTCACAATGTCTGTTTCTCCGATGTCTATTTTAACAATACAATCTAGAAACCACTTTCAGTTTCGGGTTTCACCCCATCCTTCTCAATTCCCATTTTTATGAAGGTGTTCGTTTGGAGGTTTTAGGATTTGTGTAATTTTAAATCATATTGCTGGAAATTGGCAACGAAGTTACAGTACCCTAAAAATTGAGAATGTTTAAAAGTGTGTTTCGAAAGGATGATTTTCATCAATCTCAAATTTTTGGAATCTCAGTAGCTTTTTCGGAATAATAGTACTGGTCAATAAAACACCTATTAAAAGGCGTTTTTCAGTTGATTTTTGCTCATTTTCAGAAGTTCGGAGCTAGGCTGTCAAGTTTCCGATCACTTTGAAAACTTTCGAGAGTGTTAAACAGACCTAGATTGAAAAATTTGCATTCATAGAATTTTTTGAAAATTCTTAGTTTTTCAGCTATTTGCCGATTTCTATAAGACATGCATTTTGCCCCGTTTTTGTACTGAAAACTTGAAAAATAGGTGTCTTTGAGAAATCGACAAATAGCTGGAAAACTAGGAAATTTTGAAAAACTATGTGAATTCAATGTTTTCAATCGAGGTCTGTTTTACAACTTCTATAATTTTCGAAGCAACTGGAAACTTGACAGCCAAGCTCCAGATATTTGAAAATGGCCTTTGAAAATTCTTAAATTCTAGAATCATCGGGAGCCCAGCATCTACAGTTCAATATTATTTGGTTGGCTAAAAAATAATGGTTGTTTTTATGATTAATTGAATTTTTCATAAAAAAGGAAGTAGACAAGATTAACTCAAAAGCTATTTGCCATAATTATCAACTACTTGCAGCCAACATCCGCGCAAAGAATGGGGTCCGTTGTGAAAGAACCCCACTGGCTGCGACCCAAAGTAGGCGACCACCCATTTTTCGGTCTCAACGCGGCTTTTGAAATGTTTCTCGGCTAATGAGGGTCGCATTGATATAAATTACTAGAAATCTGAAAGTGCCAAATCAGGGCTACTTGGCGGATGAGGGAGAACTTCCCAGCCCATTTCCTCGATTTTCTGCTGAGTGACTTTTGACACATGCGGCCGAGCATTATCATGAAGGAGTTTTGTCGTTGGTGTATTCACACCTTGACGTCTCAAAGCTTGCTGCATTTGGCCCAATTATCATTGATAGAGTTTAGTAGTGGCTGTTAGACCTTTTTCCAGAACTTCAAAACATACAAGACCCTTGCTCTTCCAACATACACATAGCATTACTTTCTTTCCGTATATCTCTCATTTCGAGTTGTTTTGGCCGGTTCTCCGGGGGACAACCGTCGTCTATTCTGAGTAGTATTATCGTACTGAATCACTTTATCATCCGACATAACATAAGAATCGAGAAAGGCGATATTCTTCGAGAAAAGAAGGATAATTCTGATAAGTGCGAGGAGGGAATGGTTGTAGGAAAAAACTTCCGCAACTGTTCGACTTTCCAATTTGTACAAATGGTTTTCAATGGTACCATTAGTACAAGAAAACGGTTCTGAAAGACTACGAGTCGTTTGACAAGGATCCGACTCGTTTAAGTCTCTCAGCAGTTCACTGTCAATGATTTTTGGTCGAACGGTGTGTTCACGGTCTTCCAAGCTTTCATCGTCATTATGAAAACGTTCAAACTAGCGTACGAATCAATTTTTTATAGAAAAGCTTTTTTGAATACTTTTGAGAGAGAACTAAGAGCTTGCGCGGCATTTTTGACCAACTTAAATTTGCACCTTCCCGCGCATTTTTTGGAACGACGTTTTCTAAACGGAATTCCCAATCGAAAAAACAGAATGGGAAACTGAGACTATATATCAAACGATGCGCAAAAAAACGCTCTTTCGAATAAAAAAAAGGGGGAAGCAAAAATGTTCTTCGGATAGAGAAATACGTTCCGACAAACACGCCACTCATTATTTTTTAGCCAACCTAATAGATTCCTAGACTCTAGAAATTACAGGTTTTTATGTAAGAAATATAGCATTTTCTATTTTCAAATCGTTTTAAACTTTCAAATGTCTATATTTTAGAGCCTAGTGATCCGAAACTTACCTTGAACATCCGATTTTATGAGTTCCTTAAAAGAAATTAATGAAAAATAGTTTTATTCTTTTAATTACAATTCAGTACAGTATAATTTATTATCAATCCTTCCTTCCTTTCTTCGCTCGCTCCTTGCTTGTCGTTGCTGGTCCTCCAGCGGTCCTCCAGCGGTCCTCCAGCGTCCGAAGTGCCTTAACGATGTGCGGTGGAGACATGGGTCCTCCTCATGTCATCAGTCGAAGACCACCGGGGAATCGAACGTCCGCCGATGGTCCCACAACCGCACACGTTATCCAGTCGGCCACGCGGACGGTGACAGGTGAAGGCATAGAAGGCATATAAGAATATAGGGTCATCTGGAGGTGAAGGAGGGCGTAGGAGACAAGAAGAAGAGTATCAGGATAGTGACTGGAAATCAATAATGACAGTAATCCCTACAGTACCTCACTTTGGACCGTTTCAATTATCATACGATCTCAAAATCCCAAATCACTTCAAAATTTCTTCAGAATTTTCGAAGTCTTCTAGATCTCGCTATCAGTAATTCTCTGACAATTTGTCAATCTTCTACAAAATACACCAATTTTTTTTTTCATTCATCAAATTCCATTTCAATCTTGGTAGTCTCATCTGTCAAGTGTCTGAAACGGCTTTCACCTACTCACTGGGCACAATATGGACCCTTCCTTTTCCATTTTTTTTTTCTTCGGACGTATGAATAATAGTGTGCAGTGGTAAAAAAAGAAGAAAAAATGGACGGAAGGCGTCCAAAAACAACATGAGCCACCACCACCCGCCGAAAAACCAACACACCATTCTCACCGAGACCTTCGTTATTTATGTTCTTTTTGGCGGGAGAAGAGAGAAGATGAGAGAAAAAGAAGAAGAAGGTTTTGGAACTTTTTAGTTTCTGGTTTTTTTTTTTTGCATTTTGAGTTCTGAAGACGTTTGGAATGGAGTAGTAGGATTTATGCGCTTGAAATGAACTGACTGTCTCAGACTAAATTCTGGAAATCCTAAACTCCAAGAAGCCGAAAAACACCATATTTCCTTTAATAGAAGCCCACCGAAGGCGTCAACTTTGAGCTCAATTATCTTGGTTCCTATAAGAGATATCAAAAAACTGTCTACTGATAAATCGTTGATCATAATATCACCAATCTTCCTTATTAATAAAACGCTAGAGGCGTCTGTCTGTCCTCGTGTCCGTCTGTGGACTTTTGATAAAATTGAAAAATACATATATATTTATGTGACACTTTTATTTAGAAAAAGTGAGAAACGAAGCGACGAACATTTGAAAAAAATAGATTGAATCGCGCCGAAGGCGCACCAGCTTGCTGGTATAAGTTGATAATTTTATGGCATCTTTTATAGGAACCAAGATATTTGAGCTCAAAGTTTGTTTTAAAACTACATTGGTTTATTGAACGATATAGAATGATACAATAGATGGGCTTTTATACTGATTACATGATAAAGAATTTAATAAAAGAAAGTGATTGCGGGGGATGCAATGCACATTCCCATTACCATCAGAAGAGTGCGATTTAGCACAAAGTTGACTGTTTGGGTGGTCTTCTATTAGAGGGAATACGGTAGATTTCAATTGTCTGATTCTTGTGCATATTCTGGAATCTATGCTCCTTTTTATACCCAATCTATTTTTTAGCTTTTATCGTAACCCTTTACCTTTTCCCTTCATACCAAAAACCTAAATTCTATCAAAAAAATCATAACTATCCGAGACACGTACTGTATGGTTTTTTATTTGAAAATTCAATTCAAACAAACATACTTTTTTCAACGGATCTCAAAAAACTGGGTGAACACAAACACACAATTTGTGTGCTCAATCCATCGAGATCCATCGAAATCCAAAATTTACTTTTCCAATATTTTTCTTTTTCGTTTATCTTTTGTTGAAAGGCTAACCTACTTTTTTACTTTTCAAGGTTCAATCATCATTTTTCGCACGTTCTGATCGTGATACGGTCATTTGGCGGTCGCGATATAACTGGATGGCAATAGATTCAGAATCCGACACCCTACCCAGATAATTGGCCCCACACATTTTCTCTCTCTCTCTCTCTCTCTCTCTCTCTCTCTCTCTCTCTCTCTCTCTCTCTCTCTCTTTCTTGTCAAGTTGAATTGACATTGTTTGAAGGTTGTTAACGGGTCGGGGAACCATATATAGAGTACCCTATGTTGAATATTACAATACAACATTTCAGTTTTCTAGAATATCCGACGCCGTTTAACACAAAAATTGTAGCCAATTTATCGCTTGTCGGAGACGACTCGACGACAAGCCAGCAAGACAAAATTTCGCTTTTTTTCGGAACAAAAATTTCGGGCACCCCGTTTTCCGGTTTCGTTCTTTTTTTTGCTGATTTTTTTGTGGATCTGTTTGTTTTTGGGTTTTGAATTTTGGATTTTGGGCAATTATACGGTGACGGGGGTTTTAGATGCTTGAATTCTGAGATCATAAGTCTGAAATTCTCAGAGCTTCTGATTCTTTCTATTTGGAGTCTCAAAATCACTGAATCCCAAAATTTTTGATTACAAAATTTTCGAAAAAGTTTGAATTACCGTACTTCCTCCACTATGTATAATAGAAGCCCACCCAGACTGGCAACTTCGGGCTCAATTATCTTGGTTCCTTCGAAAGATATCAAAAAGTTGCCAACTAATAAATTGTTTATCATAATATCACCAATATTTTATTAGTTGACAGATTTTCAATATCTATTATAGGAACTGTGATAATTGAGCTCAAAGTTGAAGACTTGTGTGAACTTCTATTTTGTTGAGAATTTCAGAAATTTTTTGAATTTCAGAGCTCAAAATTTTATAGGACCACTTAAAATCTCGAAATTCACATTATTGGAATTGATAAAATGTATCTGATATTATGAAAAACATTTTATTAGTTGCCAATATTTTGATATCTTACAAGAATCGAGATGATTTACAAGAATCGAGATAATTAAGCTAAAAGTTGAAGGAGTGGACTTCTACCGTAAGCGCAACTGATTTCTCTATCGTTCTTATGCCTTGCCTATATACAATTTCTCTCTGACCAATACTTCTAATTGCCATCAATTTCCTCGCCAACGACATTGTTTGATTTTCAAAACCCTATTTCTCTATTCGAGCCTATATTTGAGCCCCCTTCCTCCCCATGTATTACATGACTAATATACAGGAATACGATCTAGTAAACATACGAGTTTTATGGAAGAGTTTCTCGTCCTCTCTGGTTTCCTTCTCCCTATTTACACATAATTCAACACTCTCTTCTTCCTCTTCTTCTTCTTTTTTTCCTCCCGTTTTTGGGGAAAGGCTGTCGACAGCCGTCCCGTCCTCTTCGACGACATTTATTTGCATTTCTCCTCTACTTTTTTTTCTTCCAAAAAAACCATGATGTCCTTCCTTCCTTCTTTTTTATGCTTCTATTTTTTGTTTTTTGAGTTGAAGGCACTAAAAATCATACGAAAAGTTTTTTTTGTTTTTAGAATCAACACAAAATGGGTACGATACAATGGATTGTAGCTATTTTCGGATTAATGATTGGTTTGAAAGTAAGTCTTTTTATAGCCTAAAAGTTTAGATATTTAAATTTCGAAACTCCGGAAATCCGAAACTTTAAGATTCTGAGATTTCGAAATTCTATGAATCTGAAATTTTGCATACTTGATATTTTGGAATTTTTTGATGTCAGAGAATTCCAAGGTCCTTGAAGTCTCGGCATTTTGAGATACCTGGAATCCAAATTTTTGAATTTTTGAAAATATGAAATTCTGAGATTTTGAAACCCCTTATGTTCTATGTTTTTGGATTCTGAGATTCTGATATTCTCGAATTCTGAAATTCTGAAATTCTGAAATTCTGAAATTCTAAGATTCTGAAATTCAGAAATTCAGAAATTCTGAAATTCTGAAATTCTGAAATTCTAAAATTCTGAAATTCTGAAATTCTGAAATTCTGAAATTCTGAAAAAAAAATCAGAGATGTTCTAAGATTCTATGGTTTTGGGATTCTGAAATTCTGTAACTCCTAGTCTCTAATTGTAAGATTTTTAAGATTCTAAGATTCTGAGATTCTGAGATTCTGAAACTCTGAAATTCGAAGTCCCTGAAATTCTGAGATTCTGAAATTCTGAGATTCTGGAATTCTGAAATTCTGAGATTCTGAGATTCTAAAATTCTAAAATTCTAAAATTCTAAAATTCTGAAAAATTTCAGACAATCTCATCAGAAACCTCCCCATTCTGTGACGATTATATCAGATGTATGGAGCAGTTGGAAATCAAACAACATGAGTGTCTGGCACTGGATAAAAATATCAGGTTTATTTTTTTTGTGAATCTGTAAATAATCCAAAATTCCACGAATTCCAGATTGCGAAGCTCCGACGCGTGTAGCCGTCAGAAATGGGATCAGAAGCTAGAGTTGAATGCTCTTCATATGAGGTAACCACCTAAAAAATATGGAGCCAAAAATCAAAAATTCAATTTCAGAAGAGCAGAAGTGGCTCGTGACTGTGTTCAGAAGAATCATCAAGATGCAATGCTAGCTGAATCCACGCTGGATGAGGAAACGGTAATTTTGAGTCAAATCAACCTAAAAAATAGGGAAATTGCAGAGAAAAACCTGTACTTCTCTTCATGACAAATTTCAATTTGCCAAAGGGTTCACATCTGAAGAATCAACAACGTCTTCTGGAAGTCGAAAAAAGAGATCGATTAAAAGAAACAAGAGAGATGCTAAAAAGAGTTCGAATTCAAAAGCAACAGAGTGCAGAAATGCTGCCAAGTTGTGGCATAAACAATGCTCAGCACTTGCCAAATGTTGTCCATTGGTAGAGGAGTGAGTTTTTTTAATCCTAAAAAAACCCACCAACTTTGAGCTCAATTATCTCGATTACTATGAGAAATATCAAAAATCTGTAAACTGATAAAATGTTGGTGATATTATGATAAACATTTTGTTAGTTGACAAATTTTTCATATCTTTCACAGGAAATGTGATATATGGGTTTAAATTTGACAGTCTGGGCGGGCTTCTAATTACTGTAGTTTTCATAAATTGACTAGAAATGGTAAAAGTCCAATAAAAGAATAATTAAAAAGCACTAATTTTATGTTTCCGACCGTTTGAGATTGTCAGAATCAAAAGTCAGAATTTCAACAAGAAACGGGGGGAAATGGAATTTCAAAAATCATCTGTAAATAGTCGAAAATGAACTGAAAATAATCTTGAAACAGCTAATATTAGGTCAAATGTGCTAAAACTAAGCCAACAATAATCTAGAACAAGTCAAAATTTGGTTTTAAATAATCTTGAAATTACGACCAAAACTTCTTTAAAATATGCCCACCCAAATCGTCAACATTGAGTCCAGTTACGACTCTCATGAGATATACCAAAAATTTGTCAACTGATAAAATATAGGTGATAATATGATAAATAGTTTATTAGTTGACAAATTTTTGATATATTTCACGAGAATCTAGATAATTTTGATCAAAATTTAAAGTCCAAAAAATCAAATGTTCAAAAAATCAAAAGTTTTTGATTTTTTGAACTTTTGAACATTTTTGACGTTTACTGGCAAACCAATGTATATTTTTTTCACCCAATTTTTTTGCAGCTGCAAACAATCAACCACCGAAATCATGGATCAAATCTACGAGGGTCGTCATAAGCTTCACGACATGCACGTCAATAATTGTATCTGAATCCGAATTTTCTCAATTTTATGTCTCAATTCGCTTGCTCCTTCGCTAGATTTTCAATTTTTTCCTTTCCCAGTTTATGGTGCCAAGTCTCCCAATTTTTCACTTTTCTGTGCTTTGTTCCTTCCCTTTTTTGCAAAAATTTCCAACCCACACTCATTATCATATTAACTGTGTAATCATATATAATTCATTGATTTAAATTTTCATAATGAATGTGATCATGAATCAAAGAAACCCAATATAAGGGGATCCAGAGAGCCCATTTGGACATCGAATTGAAAAATGAGATTTCAGAATATCACAGTACTATTTATTTTCTCAACAGTTTTAGCTGTTTCCTATGCTGACACCCTTATCAGGTTAAATTTCAGATTTGCAGCTCCTAAGCTTACCCTATGCTCTTTGAGCTCAATTTTCTCCGTTCTTAGAAGAGATATCTTAAACGTGCCAACTGATAAAGTATTTATCATGTTATCAGCTACATTTTATCAATCGACAATATTTTGATATCTCTCATAGGAACCGAGATAAATAAGCTCAAAGTGTACTTAAAGCTTTTCAGGTCTCTCCCGGTCCAAGAGGCTCGGAGAAACCATTTGAAGGAGCTTATCAATGCTCACAAGCAGAAAATTGCTGAACAAAAAAGAACGATTGTTGTATTTGATGAGAATGAGCCAAAAAAGATCAAACAAGACAGATCTATTATAGTTTTTAAAGAGCAGGAGGCTCCAAAGGAGATTGAGAAGAAAAGATCTATTGTAGTTTTCGATCAGCCCATTCAAGAGTAAGAGTTGAAAATTTAGAAGGAGTAAAATTTAAAGATTTTCAGAGTGAAGCATAGAGAGGATAAGAAGACAATGTTGTTGGGATTCAAGAATGGGAAAGCCACAAATCAGAGGTAAGAGGAATAAGGCTTTCATCCGGGCGGCAAAGTTAGCCGACAGACCGAGCGAGCCGACATTTAAAAACGACTTTCTGGAGAATATAAAGCTAGAAATCTTTTTCAAATCTGTTCAGAAACCCACTTCTTAGGTTTATTAGAAGCTAAGATACACTGCTTCAAAGTTTTGCAATCTAGAAACGCAGACAACGAGACACGCTGCGTCTCTAACCTTCTAAACTTTAAATGACTTCTAGATGAGCTAGAGAAGCGATTTTTGGACAGAAATAGAGCAAATATCTCGGTTTAAAAAATAATCCAATTTCAGAGAAACCAAGAACCGTGTGGACCGAAAGACAGTACTTTTAGGATTCAAGAATGGCGAGCTTCCAAAGGCTGATGGGTAATTTTTTCAAAATAATATCTACAGTAATCCCGGATAATTGCAGAAACGTCTATGTTGCTAAAGATAAAGAAGATAGACGTTATGTCGGAACAATTTTGAAGAACGGAGAAGCCGGACAAAAGTAAGTTAGCCGACCGACCAACCGACCGACCAACCGCCGACCAAATTTGGGCGTTTGCGCGTAAAAGTGCCAAAGAGTGTTTGCGTACGGAGCATTTTATTTTACGATACACTATTCAAGTAATGCATAAAATACGCAAACACTCTGACTGATGACGAGCAAATGCACGACTTCGAGCGGATAAACACTCTACAGTAATCCCTGATGATTACAGAAACGTCGCTGCTGCCAAAGATAGGGAAGATAGACGTTACGTTGGAACTATTTTGAAGAACGGAGAAGCCGGACAAGAGTAACAATGAAAATTCAAGATTACTGTAGTTCCGATACTTTCAGAGAAGTCAAGCAAAGAGAGGACAGAAAGACCGTACTTCTTGGGTTCAGAAATGGAGAGGCCCATCCAGTGAAACATCGGGAGGACAAAACTAGACTAATGATTACTCTTAAGAATGGGAAGGCTGCACCACAGTAAGTTCGATGGAGCACATTTACAAAATCAATAAAATGTTCCAGCCCACAAGAAGCCAAGCATCGTGAGGATAAGAGAAAAATCATTGTTTTCAAGAATGGAGAGGGAGACAAGCGTGCTCAAAATGACGCACTTCTCAAGTAGCTATTCTTGAATCCACCAAATAAAATATTTTGTTACTTCCAGCGCTCTCGGTGAAAGATACAACCATTTGAAGGTTGCCAAAAGAGACACACTCATCAGATCTCTTCCAGTTGCTGAGAAAAAAGAGCAACAGTCGCTCGCTGCCGCTAAGAAGAAGGATTCAGAGCTTTCGAAGAATTTCATGGAAGCTTTAAAAGCCTACCCAAATCGCGGAACTGATAAGGAGAAGGCTGCTTTTGCTGCCAAGCGTCGTGAGGCTATTAGAGACTTTTTGAAGAATAGAAGAGCGATTTTCAAGCAAACCAGGTTAGTTGTTTGGGTTACTGAAGGGGTTTGGTAGTGAAAAACACATTTTGGGGAATGACCAGTATATCCTTTCGAGAAACTACAAGAAAATAAACTTCCAGAAATTCTTTGAAGAATTTCTCGAAACGACCACATTTTAACACGGTGGCCTAACTTCTGGTCTGATATTCATCTGGTGTGTTTTCTCGGTCATGTTAACATGGTGGCCGAACTTTTTCAAGTCGAGTTTTCTAGGCCACTATGACAAACTGACCCAGAAATAGCCTGACACGCCTCTGGTCTGTTTTTAGGCAATTTCAACATTGTTGCCGAATTTTTGCAAGTTGAATTTTCTAGGCCACTATGACAAAATGGCTCAGATCCGCCCTGACATGCCTCTGGTGTGCTTTCTAGGCCAATTTAAAGAGATGACCTAACTTTTGCAAATTGATTTTTCTAGGCAACGACGGTAAATGTCTAAAAAATGACCTGGTATTCATCTGGTGTGTTCTCTAGGGCATTTACCATGCTGGCCTAGAAAACCCAACTTGCAAAAGTTAGGCCACCACGTTAAAATGACCTAGAAAACACACCAGATTGTTATTAGACCAATCCTAGACCGAAAAAGATGGTGGCCTAGAAAATTCAACTTGCAAAAGTTATATCCATTTTTGAAGAATTTTTTTCGAAAAACATTTTGGAATAGACACAATGGGAACGACCTAACTACAGTAACCAACAATACCTAGTTTTAGATACGGAGATTGGCCAGGGTTCCCACGCAAGAAGAGAGAGTGAGTCTGAAGACTATGTCGCGAAATTCCCCAAAATTTCCAATAGAATAATTTCTAGCATCGCCGCCACCGTTGTCGGCGCCGCTGTCAGTAGTGTCGTTTCGAATTTGATGAAAAACGTGGAAGAGAGTGTTGTGCAGGCGGAGAGTGAGGCGGCGAAACAAGTGCAGGCTGATTTGGATTCGGATCAGGGACGAATTTTGGGTCAAGGCGATTTTCAGATGTTGGATGGGTGTGTAGAGATAGAATTATAACTGTTGATAATTTCAGATCCTAAGACACCGTCCAACAGAAGAAGCCAGCGTCTCCAGTGTGAGTTTTTTTTTTAGAATAAAACTTCGGTTGAAAATCGCGGACCGTTTTTTTAATAAAAGAAACCTAAAAATCTGAAAATCTTAATCTTGAATTTTTTCCACTAAATTTCACACGTTTCTGTCCAAAAATGAACTTCCTAGCTCATCTAAAAGCCGAGATGCAGCTTTCCCAATCTTGGAGGCTAGAGACGCAGACAACGAGACACACTGCGTCTCTAACCAAAACTTCAAAAACCTATATCTTGCCTTCCAGATGAGCTAGAGAAGTGAAAATTATACAGAAATGTGAGAAATTTGAAGAAGAACAATTTAAGCTTCGCATTTTGAAATTTTTTGGAGTTTGAGTCTTTTGGAATTTTGAATTTTCAGAAAGCTCATAATCACAAAAACCTTTGAAAACAGACAAATTTACTCTATTTCTGTCCAAAAATGTTTTTTCACGGTTAGAGACGCAGTGTGTCTCGTCGTCTGGCTTCTCTCACCTCTTAAACTTCAGAGCAATGTATCTCGGCTCCTAGATAAGCTAGAAAGTTCATTTTTGGACAGAAATGTGTGCAATATCTGAGAATTTTTGGAATTTCAAAGTGTTGAGCAGATTAGAATCCCAATTTTAGGGCCAACGAAGCCGTCCCACTTCCATTTGCTCCAGTAAAAGCTTTCGATGTTCCAAAGTTCGCTTCTTTCTCCCCAAAATTTCAGATACCCAAAATTTCAGAGTCCAAGCTGACGTCGAGGTCATCGTAGGAAACACTAATGCTACAACGTAATTTTGATACCTTAATTCTTTATCAGAAAAAAGGAAAATTCAGAACCACCACCACTGCTCCTGCTGGCGAAAAGAAGGGATTCTTCGCCACACTTTTCAACTCATTCAAACTTTTCTTCGGAACCGTCACTAATTCTGTCGGGTAAGACTCAAAAATATATAGCTGATCTCGTAAAGATAATTTCAGTGGATTCTTCATCGATGTGGGATCCCGTATCACCAATTTCGTGGAGAAGCGCATCAAAGTTTAACTTTTTTTTTTAATTGGGTTATTAATTTTTTAAAGAAAGCATAATAAATGAGTTTTGCTCAATATGTCCTTGTTATTGCAAAAAAAAAGTTTTGGAAAAAAAATTGAAATTCCAGAAATTCTGAAAGTCCTAATCTTGGATTTTTTTTCTCTAAATTTCACACATTTCTATACAAAAAATGAGTTTTCTAGCTCATCTAAGATTCGAGACAAACTGCTTTAAAGTTGAAGTGGTGAGAGGCGCAGACGACGAGACACGCTGCGTCTCCAACCTTGAAAACTTCAAATCGCTGTTTCTCGGCTCCTAGATGAGCTAGAAAGTTCATGTTTGAATAGAAATAAAGAAAAATCGTATGTTTTTAAATAAATTTCTAAAATTTCCATTTCAAAAAAATCGAGTTTCAAAAAAAATTCAAATTTCAAAAAAATCTGGAAATCCTTATTTGAAATTTTTCTTCTCCTAATTTTACAAATTTCTGTCTAATTTTCAACTTTCTAGCTCATCTAGGAGCTGAGATATCGCTATGTATAGTTCTAGAGGTTAGAGACGCAGTGTGTCTCGTCGTCTGGCGTCTCTAACCTCCCGAAACTTCAGAGCAATATATCTCGGCTCCTAGTTGAGCTAGAATATTTATTTTTTGACAGAAATTGAGGAATTTCATCTGCTTTTTTTATTTCAACCATTGTTAACGAATGCTTATCTGGGAGCCTGCCAAGAATCTTTGCTCACAACTTTATTACAATCATTACTCGGGGTTAGTTTATTATTTACACAGTAAACATTTTTCAAAATTATGGCTCATTATTATCTACAAAAAACTTATTACAATAATACTTAATACGGGGTCTCAACAATTATTAGAAGTGAGATATGGCAAGTGAAGAAAAAAGCTCAGAATCGAAATAAATTAAAAAGCACGTTCGTTAGCGATGAAAAGCATGGCGTTTCCAAGATAAAAAATGATACGGGATACCGAGTGAAGAGCTTTGGTATGGGTTTGGAACGAGTTGATAAGAAGGAGGAAGGTACTGATCCAGGCGAGAACGGATCCGACTAAACGCATTGTCGAGGCTTGGCGAGCGTCGTAATCTCCATGTTGACCATTTTGACAAAGGCTTGCAGAGGTGGCAAGGATCAGGACATGTGAGGCTAGGAGGATGGTGAGGATGGTTGCAAGGAATGGGATCGCGACAAGAAGGTCTTGGATGAGGTGGAGGAATTGACCAAAGGAGAGGCAGAAGGCAAGGAAAATGATTGGAGATGAGACTTTGGTGACGATGTCTCTGGAATAATTCAGAATTCCGGGGTCAGAAATGAGATTCAGATGCAACTCACCTATATGAGAAGTAGTAGAAGACGTTGGCAATAGTGTAGAAAATCGCCGATGTTGGTCCTGTCCGATTCACCGATTGGAAGTATGTGGCAATGGCAGACATCAAGAAGGACATTGCTGTGGCGAATCGAGCTCTGAAGCAATAATTTTGAAGAACACCTTGAGCTTAAATATCTCGGTAAATGCAAAAGATATCAAAAAACTGTCAACTAATAAATTGTTGATCATAATTTCACCAATATTTTGTCATATGACAGATTTTTGATATCTCTCATAGGAACTAAGATAATTGAGCTCAAAGCGAAAGTACAGGCTAAATAGAAGGCACCCTGGACCGCCTACTTTGAGCTTATATAGATGATAAATAGTTTATCAGTTGATACATTTTTGATGTTGCCTAGGAAGTTTTCCAATTTCTGTTTAATGGTCTGTTTTATGAAACCCAAAAAAAATCCTTTTTCAAAGTTTTCATTTTTCAGAAAGGGACCAAATTTTAAAAGCAAATTTTGATTTTGCAGATGGACAACACAAAAAATCAATAGAATAACTTTTCAGCCGTCAGCGGCTCATTGGCGGTTAATTATTCGATCAAAATTATCTCGGTTCCTGTAATAGATATAAAAAATTTGTCAACAGATAATTTTGTTTATCATAATGTTGCAAACATTTTAACAGTTGACCTATTTTTGATAGCTCTTGTATGAACTGAGATAATTGAGTTCAAAGTTGACGGTTCCGGAGGGCTTCTATTAGAACAAGTACGGTAATTACGCTTCAGTTTAATTAACTTCGAAACCTCAATTTCTAAACTTTCCTAAAACTAAAAACTTACTTTGGATTCATCGTCGTCGCCAATGACAACATGGCCAGAATAACCAATGGAGCACTCAACAGAACATGATGATTCTTCTCGAACTTTGACGTCTCAATGTACGCCAAAAGTGTGGACCCGCCATATATGGCAAGGCACTGAGCCGGTGATAACATCTTCAAAATGTTTAGCATTTTGTCAGAAACATAATTGTAGGGATTCCTTTTTTATAAGGGAACAGAGTGGTGTTGTCTTTAAGAGATCAGAGATCAGCCACATGCAACTTGTTTTGGGCAAAAAATACGTACACAAAGTGATGCTAGTAGCAGCTCAAAGATAAAGGAGTAAGGGTGTCTAGAACCAACTAAACAGAGGAAAAAATATGAAAAAAAAAATAGAATTTTTTATTCGAAGAGGTTTTAAAGCTTCCAATTGGTTAGAATAAAGTTTCAAAATATTGTATACAGAGCATATTAATCATTGTATGTACATTTCAAAAAGAAGGGTTTGTCAGTTGATCTTGACGGATTTCGTCACTGTTGGAACTGCCATTGTGTTTCCATAAAGGATGAAGTATTGGGCGGTGTAATAGGTGGAGAGTACGCAGAACGATGGAGCCAATTTCCAGTATCCAGTGTGGGAGAGCATCAGGACAGAGTCGGAGATGTAGAAGAGGAAGAAGCCGATGGCACGGTATAGTAGACCCTGGAAAAAATTAAGATCTTTGGTCATGTTTAAGAGTTTTAAAAAGTGAATGATCTTCAAAGAAAAGTGTCAAGTTACAAAATCTTCAGCAAAAACCATCCAACCAATGATCAGCATTTTTGAAAAAATTATTTTCCCCCTACCTCCTTATTCTGTGATTTCGATCCGTTGAGAAATTGTGAGACGGCTGTGAGTGTGCAAGTGGATAGAAGAAGAGAATACGATGCGAACACAACCAATGGACCCCGATGGTCAGCTAGCATTGGAACAAAGCAGAGTTGTCCAATGACTAGAGCCCAGGCGAGCATTCCAAGGAGGAATTTGCTATGGACTTTGGTTTCATGGTGTCGGAAGAGGCTCTGGAAACAATTTAGTTGATTTTGGCATTTTCAGGGGTCTCGAGCTCTGCTGTCAAGTGTCTGATCACTTTGAAAATTTTGGAAGGTGTAAAAAAGACCTAGATTAGGAATTTCCAAACAATCTGCTTTTTTAACCCCGAAAATTTAAATTTAGCGCGTTGGCTTGTGCACGAGGAGTACAAAACACGAAATCTTCAATTTTCTTTTTTTTTGTTTTTAAAAATTTTGATTTTTTTATAATTCCTAGCGCTTTCACACCAAAAAATCCAGGTTTAATCTGCTTTGTAACCCAAAAATTCAAATTTCGCGCGTCGACTTGTCCAAGAGGAGTACAAAATCCAAAGTCGATCAGAACACCCGATTGGTCAAATTTCAACATTTTTGGTCATTTTTGAGCGGAACATTTAAAATTTCAAACTGTTTTTTTTTCATGTTTTCCTTACAAAACCCGACCAAATGGGGTGGGAATTTCCGAAGATTCCTGTAAATGCAAGTTTTCAATCTAGTCTGTTTTACACCCTAGAAAATTTTCAAAGTGATAGGAAACTGGAGAGTCGAGCTCTAGACTCCTGAAAATGTCAAAAACCGGTATCATAGGATATGGTATCTAGGATCCCGGATCTAGACTTCTAGGATGTTTCCGAACCTTACCAAATAAAAAAGATGTCCGATTCCAAAAGCCAACGCTCCCAGAATGATTCCATCGTGACGCATTCCAATGATCCAATCTCCGACACCACCGAAAAACAATCCAGCTGCCATTGTTTTTCGGTGCTCCTTCCCCAGCCCACCGCCATTCAGATAAGCAAACGCTGTCAGCAAAATGATTGGGGTCACTTTCCTGAAATTCCAAATTCTATAGCATCATGGCCTTTCCCCAACCACAAGACCATTACACTGCCAAGTTTGAGCCAATTTATCTCGATAGCTGTCAAAGATATGAAAAAAGTTGATAACTAATGAATTGTTCATCATAGTATCACTAACATTTTATCAGTTTCCACATTTTTGATATCTCTTACAGTAACCCAGATAAAATAACTCAAAGTTGACAATGTGAGGGTCCTTCTATTGGTTTTATGGTACTTACCAAAACGAGTAGCTCAATGTATAATGATCGTTAAACCCATTCGACTGGTAGTAGAAATTGGCGACCAACAGGAAGTAGGCCAATCCGATTGACGAGAACTGTGAACGCATCTGAAAACAGAGAAGGGGAAAATTTTTTGACTAAAAAAAATGTAGGAAAACTCTAACTTCTTGATTTACGACTTTCACCATTTTTTTAAAAACAAAAATTTTGAAGAACTTCTTCTTCTGATGACTCTAGTTTCAAGTACATAAGAAATGAAGTACACGTTCTCTAAGTGCACCAGTTTTTTGTTGCCACTAAAAAGTCAATGACCTAAAACACCCATACTTGAAAACGGGTCGTAAACGGACCAACGACGGTTCGAAGCATAACTTCTTTCAGGTTTTTTATATCGGGCCAGATAAATTGGATCTGATAGAACTCAACAAGTACTACAAAATGATATTAGTTGGATTACTGTATCTTGTCTATGAACAAAGTTACAAGTAAAAACTGTGTGAGCAGCCCGGTCCCAGCTTTATGGATTGTAACTTTGTTCATAGACAAGATACAGTTTTCCGATACAATTTCACAAACAGTGTCATTTTGTAGTTCTTGAGTTCGTCTATCATATCTAAGTTGGTTTGTTCAAAAATATTGAGCCTGAAAGAAGTTATGTCTTGAACCGCCGTTGGTCAGTTTTGGACCCGTTTGCAGTCTGCTAAAAACCCGTATTTGTAAACCGGGCTCCATAGCTTCTTTCAGATTTAATATTTTCACACCAATTAAATTTAAAAAATAGAAGAGCTCCAGAACTACTAAATTGCATTATTTGGGTTACTGTATCTATTTTCTGAATAAAGTTGCAAAACTTTAAAGCTATGACGGTGTAGCTCAAACAGTTTTTGGGTCATAACTGTGTTCCTAGACAAGGTACATTAATCAAAAAAGCATCATTTTGCAGTGCTATTAAGTTACATTTTGTAGTTCTTAAGTTTTCTTAGCATAAATAATCATATCCGAAAATATTGAACCCGAAAGAAGTTATGTCCAGGACCACCGTTGGTCCGTTTTGGACTTGTTTTCAAATATGAAAACCAGAAAAACAGAAAACAAAATTCGTTTTGAAAAAAAGTCCGAGAGATCAAAAGCAAATTTAGAGCTCCGAATGGTTTCCACCTTTTTTGGAAAACTCGGAACTGCTTATCAACAATTTCGCTGTCATTGAAAAGGAAAAGCATCGATAAGAATTGGAAAACTGATCAGGTCAAGTTTCTAGGCTATTGTCTAGTTTTATAATTTGAATCCGGATGAAAAAAAGGCCAGGAAAATGTACTCCAATGAGCTTTTCAAAGAAATTGTGCAAGGAAGAAAAAAAGACTCACCTCACCGGACCTGGACAAAATTGCTCCAGTCATTTCTTTGCAGCTTCAGATGGAAAAATTCTGAAAAACTCAATCGAATGACTTTGCAACACCCAACCCAGATGTGTTTTTATTTACAAAAAAATCCAAAACCAGTTTCATATATAAACGACCTCTTGCCCCGAACCGACAAGAGGATAAAGCGGGCGTGGAGGAGAAGAGGAGGAGAAAAGGAAAATAGAGAGAATTTTTGAAGGAGGAGAAGGTGTAAATAAAGGTGTCCTCTGGTGTCTTCTTGACTAATGCGCAGTCAATAAGCTTCATTTTTTCGAGACATAAATATTACGTTTCGTGTTTTCAGATATTCATTTTTTGGAGGTCGAGATTCCAATCTAGAAATTCTAATCTAGAAAATTCAGATCGAAGAAAAGGCAAGCTAAAAAATTTGCAAAAAATCATATTGATCTTAAAATCTCGAAAACGTTAAACTTGAAAAAAAGAGAACCCAGAAACCTGAGACCGTCTGAAATAACGTAGGCCCAAGTACTGGGCACTTTACCTCTATAGAGGTATAAACTAGACTCCAAACACGTGACACACAAAAAATTAGAAAAAGAGCGAACAGGTGTTTGTTTGAACTTTTGGGTATACCCTTCTAACTACTTCCGTGGTCACACAGGATTTTTTGTGGTTTTTGTTCTGGTCGATTGGGCAGGAATTTCAGGTTTTCAGGGGTTTTACGATTTAGATCATTTTTGAATTAATCTTTGATTTTTTTTTTCTCAAATCGCTGTCTGATTTGAAATAATTTGAAGTTGCATATTCAGTAATCACGCTCTATTGAAAAGCATATATTTCAACAGAGCACAAGAACAGAGCAGAGAACAGAGCTCTTGTCTGCATTCAAAGCGTCTTAAAGGCGCAAGAGGGAATACTACCGTACCTTTTGAGCCCATTTTAAGTTTTTTTTTTCTATTTTCTCAATTTTCCGACGATTGTCATAGTTTTTTCTATGTAAATCGGAGAAAAAGTAAATTGTAATGTCGAAAATCGAGAAAAGAGGAAAAATGTTTGAATGGGCTCAAAGATTACGGTAGATCGAAATCAATCTTCAATTTATTAAAAGTTTCACAAAGTTGAATTCACAAGTTCCGATTTACATAGAATCAGTAAACACGCTCTATTGAGAAAAAATCGTTGTGATTTAAGTATCAATTTTTTCAATTCCGAAAATCCGTATTTTTGTATTTGTCTTCTTTAAATTTCACACATTTCTGTCCAAAAATGAACTTTCTAGTTCATCTAGGAGCCGAGATACAGCGATTTGAAGTTTATGGCGTGAGAGACGCAGTGTGTTTCGTCGTCTGGCGTCTCTAACCTCCCGAAACTTCGAATCGCTGTATCTCAGCTCCTAGATGAGCTAGGAAGTTCAAAGCTGGACAGAAACATGTGAAATTTAGAGAAGGATAATTCAAAAATAGGATTTTCAGATTTTTTTGAAATTTTAAGTTTTCAGCAAAAGCTATTTTTCCAACAAAAAAAAGTTGTTTTTATACGTTCCTGTCCAAAATCATGAAATCATACGAATTCACTTTGATTCTGTTCAAAAATGAGCTTTCTAGCTCATCTAGGAGCCGAGATACATCGATTTGAAAGTTTTGGAGGC